AATCACTAATACGCTTGCATATAAATTATATAGTTATGTATGCATATATTTACATACTTTTGTTTTTCCTACTGATATATTTAATAAAAATAAATGTATTATGCCGTTTAAGCTAGCCAAAACTTTAATTTTAATTATTCTAAATGGATAGCTCTTTATCAATTGTAAATGAAATAGACAACACAGATGTGGCACAAGCTTATGAATGCCAAATGTGCAACGTCTCAACTGTCATTAAAGTACAAACATCTGATCTTACATTAGTATCCCAAAATATACGTAGTATCTATGCTAATTTAGATGACTTGCGGATAAACTTGGGTTACTTTAATTTTCAAACGGATGCAATCATTTTAAGTGAATGTAGAATAGATATAAATAAGAACATCCCACAAATTGAGAACTATATGTCATTTCATACAACTAAACATGTGAATAAAGCGGATGGTGTAGTTGCTTTTATTAAGGACTCGCACAAAGTAACTGCAAAAGAAATAAACTTGACGCATGCATCTGGTTTGCAAATTAATTTAAATGATGTAATCATTATCATTGGTATATATCGTTCTCCATCAATATCAAATGCGGAAGAATTTATAGAATCTTTGAACCTTTATTTAAAAACCATTGAAAGGAGTAAAAACGTTATTCTTACAGGTGATATAAATATAAATCTAATATACAATTCTAATGAATCATCGCAAACTCGTTCAAACAGAATTAATTATTTAAATATGTTGGCTACCCATGGTATGCTTCCAGCACACATTTTACCAACTAGAGGTGATAGTTGCCTTGATCATTTTATAATTAAACTAAGTAGTAATAACAGAACCGCAACTATTGCTGTACTTGATACCGCTATAACAGATCACTCTATGATTTTCCTAAAGATATCTAACTTAAAATCAGTAAATTTAAATAAATATAAAAAGGTTAAAACAATAATAAATTACGATAAAGCAGTGGAATACCTTAAAACTTATAAACTTAATGAATTATTATCCCTCAATGATCCTAATCTTATCTCACAAATATTGATAACAACTTTACAGCAAAGCCTTTTAAGAAGTACTATAACAATATCAATACCTAGAAGGGAGCGAATTATTAAGCCTTGGATGACTGTGGGTGTGCTCCGCTGCATTAGGAATAGAAATATTATGCAAAGTAAACTGAAGTTAGACCCAGAGAACTATACACTTAGAACTACATATAAACGATATCGAAATTTTTGTATTAGCATAATTAAAAAATTAAAAAGAAATTATGATAAAATGCAACTTGAAAAATCTATTAAAGATCCAAAGAAGCTATGGAACACTATAAACAGCATAACTCATCGTAAAACATCCAAATTTCAAACCTTAGAGCTGCTTAATATTTCAAAGTCACCACAAGAGTCACTAGATAAAGTTAACACCTATTTCGCTACTATTGGAAAACAATTAGCTGAAAGTATTACCACTAGCAGTTGCGAAACAAAATTAAATAACAATATTTCTCTGGGTTCTCAAGTATCATCATTTGCACTCATAAACACTGATCCTAAAGAGGTACACTCTATTCTTATGTCAATGAAGTCCGATAGCGCTCCTGGATGGGACAATATACCGACGCACTTTTTAAAACTAGCACACAAAGATATTGTGCCTCTCTTAGTACACCTGACGAATCAGTGTTTTGAGCACGGGATTTTTCCTAAAGGTCTAAAGCAAACAATCATTACACCTGTACATAAGAGCGGTGATAAAACCGATCCTTCTAACTTTAGGCCTATATCTATACTATCGGCGGTGGCAAAGATTTTGGAGAAATTGATAAATGTCCGGCTGGTAAATTATTTTTCTAAATTTAATGTTATTTCTGCTTCACAATTTGGTTTTCGCAAGAACCTCTCTACTGAAGATGCAGTATTGGCTTTGACCTCCTCTATCGTTGAGAATGTTGATTCTGGAAACAAGTGTTTAGCGGTCTTCCTTGACTTAAAAAAAGCCTTTGATACGGTGTCCATATCCATTCTTTTGAGAAACCTTCAAAATGTGGGAATCAGAGGCACACCGTACAAATTACTAGAAAGCTATCTTAGTGACCGTAATTCGCGAGTCAGGGTAGGGACGACACTCAGTTCTGAATGTAATGTCAGTTACGGTGTGCCACAAGGCAGTGTGCTTGGCCCAACTTTGTTTCTAGTATATATTAACAGTCTATGCAACATGAAAATGGAAGGTGGTCGCATTTTTTCGTACGCTGATGACACAGCTATAGTTTTTTCGGCCAAAAACTGGGATCATTTAAAAGTGCAGACTGAAGTGGGCTTAGCCCGGATTGCTTCTTGGCTGAAAAATAATCTCTTAACTCTTAATGTGCAAAAAAGTAACTACATATGTTTCACTAAGTACAATAACAGTCAACCCTCAATTGGCTTTAAAATTATTATCCACCAATGCGATAAAATTTTAACTAGCTGTTCGTGTGCTGAATTAAATAAAGTGTCAAACACAAAATATCTGGGTGTCATGGTTGATCAGCGTTTGTCATGGCATAGTCATATTGAATTGATTATGAACAGAATGAGAAAACTCATATGGACATTCAAGACATTACGATATGTGGCCTCTAATAGTATCTTGCACCAAACGTACATTTCTCTTGCGCAGTCGGTTTTAACGTACTGTTTAACCGTTTATGGTGGAGCAAATAAAACAAGATTTCTTGATTTGGAAAGAGCACAGAGAGCATTAATAAAAGTTATGTGTTTTAAGGCGCGTAAATTTTCGACTAACCAACTTTATTCCACTACTGGTATTTTATCTGTGAGGAAACTATATATTCTAAATACTGTATTGAGAAAACACAAATCGATATCTTACAAATCGAACATGAAAATTACCAGAAGGAAACATAACATCATCACACAAACTCGAGTAAAGTCAGTATTTGCTGAGAGGCAATTCGCGAAGAAATCAGTTGACTTATATAATAAAATAAACAGGGAAATAAATATCCATCCCTTAACGTTCGCCAAGTGCAAAATTGCTCTCACTAAATGGTTAAAGACTAAAAGTTATAATGAAATAGAATCATTGATTTGACTAAAATAATATAAAATGTATGCATAAGTTGTGGAAAAAAAATCCTATGAAAATATATATTACCTATATAAATTCTTAAGTTGAAATTGAAAATGTAACACACACACACACACACACACACACACACACACACACACACACACACACACACACACAAACACACACACACACACACACACACACACACACAAATATGATTAGTCTTGTTAAAAAGGTTATGATTATTTTGTTTTTTTGTTTATTTTTCTTTATTTTTTGTTTAAATTTGCGATAGCTGTGTACCTCTTTTATTTTAAAATTTAAATTGTAATCCTTATTTGTATTTATTTGGCGGTTTCTAGTCTATTGTGTAACCTCGCTATGGATGAGCGGTGCTTCCTAACACAAGCAAGATTATTTGCTTAAAAGGAAGCTCCAAGTACTTAAAATTGTATTAGGCTTAGTTACCGTAATAAATTATTTTGTATTTGTATTTTGTATATATTGATGTTATGAAAACGGTAGAGTTATGGGGGATTTCCGTTAAAGTTATTCCTTTTTTCAATTTATAATTGCCACTATTTTTATTACAGGCGTCGAATCTGGTGTGTTTTCTGATTTAATTTAACATAAGTAAAGTCATACATTTATTGAAATCTCGTAGTAAGTGTACAAAAAGAAAGACCAATTTAATTTAGTAAAAGTTTTGTAAAAATAAATTTTAGATCAGATGTTAATTTTTTTTAAATATAAATAAACTGCTTGGTTTTACAAGAGGTCGCTCTACAACTGAGGCCAGAGTTGAGCTTATTAATTTTACCATAGGAAAATGCAGCTGATTAAGAAACCATTTTTGTTTTGCAGACGTGGGCCTTAAGAGCTATTTACAGCCTTAAACCGAGATAGTTTCTCGGAGAAAATTATGAAGTAATAAAAACTTTAACTTTGGCCTCTCAGTATATTTACGAAAATATAATGTACATATATTCACAAAAACAAAAGCGGATTTAGTGGAAAAAAAAGTGATAAAAACTAGGAACAAACACAAGCTGTGATTACAGTTTCTCGACTCCACAGAGGCAGTAATTCATTATTGGGGCAATATATACGCTATTAAAATAAATCCCAGGAAATATGCAAGGTCTCTCTATTACCAAGTTTAAATATTTTATTAAACAAACACTATGTATAAATGGTGATTAGAATATAAATGAACACACGGTTGATAATGGTTGATAATTCTCGACTCCACATAGTCAGTAATTCATTCTTGTGACAATGTATACGCTATTACAACAAGTTCCCGGAAAGTGTACAGGCTCTGTCTATTAGCAAGTTTAAATGTTTTGTTAAGTTGAAACTGTATAAAAAGGAAGGGTTATTATTGTATAAATGAATACATGGTTGAAAATAACCCCTGGGAATGAGGTGATCGCTTCCAAGCTGTTTCTAAAATAAATTTTGTACGTATAGTTTGTACAATCATTATTGTAAAATTTGCTTTAAAAAAAAGTCCCGCTGGGTTTCTTGCTGGTTGTTCCTAGGACAGAGGTTTGTTTTCGAACAAGTGGTAAAGTAAAAAATGACTTTCAATAAGAATTACACATGTGATCTATATTGAATAAAAAATTATTCTATTCTATTCTATTCTACGGAATGAATCGGTCGCCTCAAAGCTGTTCCTAAAATAAATTTTGTAAATAGTTTGTAATCTTTCATATTGTATCATTTATTTAGAAGAAATGACCTGCTGGTTTTCTTGCTGGTTCTTCACAGGACGGAGGTTTTGTAAACAGTGGTAAAACAAGAAATTACTTTCAATAAGAATTTCGTGTTATCTATATTGAATGAAATTAATTCTATTCTATATAAAGCCGATAAATAAGCATTTAAAGCATTTTTATAAATGTTAATAATTTTACATTATTAGTGCACAAATTTAAACTTTCCAGATATATGATCTTTCTTCGCCGTTTTGTTAGCAGCATAGTTTTTTCTAGACAAAACAAAAATTCTGTTTTCAACTTCTCGAGATTTTGGAGACACCTTTCCCTTTCTGAAGTTTGCAAAACACGTGTACAGTATGTCCGTAAAAAACCATATTATTTCGACAATGCTTATTATAGATCCACCAAGACATAAACCAAATATGCCTCCTAAATTAGCTAAAATAAAAATATCATAATATAAAAATTATATATAATCAGCATTGATATTAAACGATTTTAAAATAAGAAAATAAGCATTTCTACATATCTACCTACCCAACATTTGATCCCAGGTGTACAAAACTTCACGCCTGTACTTCATACAACTGTTATCTTTAAAGTGCAAGGTAACCCGACTGCTAAGCATACGATTCTCACTAAAAAGTTACATTATAAATTAAACACAAGAATCTGTTGCAATCGGAGATGGAGATCGCTCAAAACAGAAACATTTTTTTATAGGATAGGGTGACAAACGAGCACACAGTCCTCCTGATGGTAAGCGGTTGCTGTGGCCCATAGACATCTACATCTATCCTCGTTTGTGAATCAAAATGCAGATGCGTTGTCACTCGTGAGAACTAAGATAGAATGCCTATTTTCCACTTAAAAGGATCTCCGAAACACAGCAGTGATAAGCTGCTATTGTCGCTAGTATTCTGTGAGAGCGTGGTCCTTCCCCTGTCGAGCAGACCCATTCGTGCTACAACTATACTACTTATATAGTTGCAGTATGGCTCTACCACGTATGAATTGAAGTGAAGCATAGAAAATTATTTGACATGAGCATGTTACCAATCCGAGTCGAAATTGTATAATTTGAAACTGAATGCACCTTCATAGTATTTTTGGTTAATTTTATCGCTTTTATCATGTTAAATATTATAAATAAAGATTTGATATTTTTTATGATACGGTAAATGAGAAAAAATCTACCAAAATGCAACAAAAGAACGTGCAGTTTTTAATTATATGATTTCTACTTTGTTTTAACAATTTTAGAAATACTTACGGTCTCAGTTTGAGCCAGGAAACGTTACCCTGTACTTTATGAACTTTTATGACTTTCATATCAAGAAAATTAATCTTATTTTTCAACAATAGATTAGAGAAACACATCGACAAGTTATAAAATGTTTATTTACCTGAACGCTCTCTCTTGTTTTAAATATTCGACTTGAGTTTCATATTGAACGTAATCGCAATCTTGGTAACATTTGTCGCCAGAAACAACCTCATGAAAGTTTCCTTTCATATTTTCTGCAACGTTAATTCATTAACGTGAATAAAGAATTATGTCGACAATGGTTTGAAATCTATTTATTAAATCTTGCTAGATAAAGATGTTTTTTTATGGGATAAGGGTGACAAACGAGCACACAGTCCACTTGATGGTAAGTGGTTGCTGTGGCCCATAGAAATCTACATCTATCCTCTATTACAAATCAAAATGCAAATGCGTTGTCACCCGTGAGGACTAAGATGGAATGCCTCATTTCTAGTAAAAAGGGTCTCCGGTTCTCTACACTCACCATACGAAACACAGCAGTACTAAACTGCTATTTTACGCTGTTATTCTGTGAGAGCGTGGTCTTTCTCCGGTCAAGCCAGCCCATTGGTGCTACAAATATAATATAGCTGCGGGATGGCCCTACTACGCATGCAATTCCTTCGTAAATTCCACCACTTTATTTATTGCTGATAAGGTCCGGCTCCGTCTAGCTTGTACCCTCGGTTTGATACGGGACACATAGATATAAATAAATGTATATGCATCAGTTAGGTAAGATAGGGAAACGAGCACACAGGATCAGGTGGACGATGGTAAGTGGTTGCTGTGGTCCATAGACATCTATATCTATCCTCGTTTGCGAATCAAAATGCAGATGCGTTGTCACCCGTGAGGACTAAGATGGAATGCCTCGTTTCCAGTAAAAAGAGTCTCCGGTTCTCTACACTCACCATACGAAACAGCAGCGTTAAGCCACTATTTTACGCTGGTATTCTGTGAGAGCGTGGTCCTTCCCCGGTCGAGCCGACCCATTTGTGCTACAACTATACTACTAATAAAAAAATGTTTTGAAAATCTACGCAAAACGTTTCGTATTTGTGTATTAAAATATTGTTTAAAATTTTGTAAACAAAATACATATCAGACTAAGCTGTATGATTATATACTTTTTTATTTTAATTATTTATAAATGATTTTAGTAACTGAATGATTAATTAAAAATTTACTTATTATAACCTCGATCATTGAAAATAATTAATAGTGAACAAATATTGCTGGAGCTGTTTTTCAAACTGGTAAATATATAACATTTTATTTTGTAGAGAACAAAACTGTCATTGTCGCTGATCGTACGAAACACAATAGCATTATGAAGCTATATGACTCCAGTATTTTGTAGGAGCGTTTTCTGGTTGAGGTGACCCATTCGTTTTGCAGTCAAAATGAAGCTGCAGCGTGTTTATATGTAAATAAAGTTCTTAGTACTCGTGGTAGCAACTTGCAGCCATCGTGAATCCTTATGAAGGTATAGATTTTTTATTATTAATTTTACTATTTTATACTAGTGGCTTAATGATTTTAGAAGCGTTTTTATGTAGAATACGTGTATGATTCTTACGGGCCAAGAATATTGTGCACAATTGCAAGTTATTACTGAAGTAATTACCCAAATTTTCGAAGATACATGTAAGATGACTCCATTTGCAAGAAGGAAACTCTTCCACGTTCAACTCCTTGCCTGAATAGAATGTTTTTGGTATTAAGTAGCAAAAAGTATTGGAACAGGCTGTATACGTCTCACAGCTGGACGAAAGTTTTATAGCAGAGATTTTGCTACGGTCGCTACAAGTAACTTTAACATGAAAAAAATAAGCTTAAAGTAAAGTTACGCATAGGAGTCGCGCCAGGCATGTGTCATGGAGTTTGTTTAATTTCTTAGACTATTTTATATAAGGGCGACAAAAACACGCACTGTCTTTCTGATAGTAAGTGGTTACTGTGGTCCATAGACATTTACGAATACATCTATCCTAGGTTAAGAATCAAAACGCAGATGTGTTGTCTGTCACCCCGAGGGTTAAAATTGAATGCAATTTTTCCAGTAAAAGGGTCTTCAGATATGTTCACTCACCACACGAAACATAGCAGCATTATGCTGCTATTTTACGCTGGTATACTGCGAGAGCGTGGACCATCGCCGATCGAGCCGACCCATTCGTGCTTCAATTACAATATAGCTGTAGCATGGCTCTACCACGACGTGATGGTTGCCTCACAACATTTCTTCATCAACTTCAGCTTGTTGTAATGTGGACTTAATATTGAAGATTTCTTTGCTGTTTTATAATCTTTTAATTAATGTTATTGCATTTTTATTAGGCCTCTTTTATTTAATTTGCCAACTTAAGAAATACTTATATTTTATTAACTAATCATCCATCGGCTCATTGATGCGGTGAATACCATAAGCAATCAGAGTGTAGGCTCGCTGGTGAAGCATCACTGGCAATAGCTAATCCATAAGCTAAAGTGGAAATGAGCCGGCCATGTATCACGAAGAACATACAACTGGCGGGGAAGAAATTTTCTTGAGTGGCAGTCTCGTACCACTATGCAACGTGTAGGGCACATCCCTCTAGATGGAGGGACTATCTTATAAGAGATGCAGAAAGTCGATGGATGAAGGTGGCTCAACACCGTGCCTTGGGGAGGGAGAGGCTATGTTAAGTTATGGACTCATGAATGTTTTTAATGGTGATAATGATGATAATATAATAGGAATTCCATGTTTTGGTAGTGGTTTACACTTGTTCAAAGATTTATATAGAGTTAAAAAAAACAGATTTTTTTTATATAAGGCATAGATCAAGCTAAACAAATTACATAAATTACGATAAGTAATATTGTACATTTATAAACCAAACCTACTCTTTATATTGAAAGGCAAGCACTGACATAATTCCACAATTTTTTTCATCACACGCTTCATCATGCAACTTCGGAATGAGTTAGCTTTGAAATCCGTATCCTAGAAACAACATTTAAAGTTTCAAAATTAGCAGTCAGTTTAAATTGATAAGAAATTCAGTAATACAACATAGTAAGTTCAGACAGGAATATACATTCCAAATACTTATACATCATAACATCATAACTAGCCGCTGTAGGCTGACACTGGCGCCGCTATGGGTCTGGATTCTGTACTCGCAGCCAACCGTGGACGTAATTGTGCCTCTATCGGTCCATGACTTGCAGTAGCGGAAACCCTCCTAAAACCGCTACGCGAACAACAGTGGAGAACAATTAGAGTAGCTCTTACTCCACCATTCACTACTCCCCTGTGTAGAAACGGACTCCCCAAGAGAGTCAGTTTCTATATCAGTGGGGTCGAGAGGACTTGCTATTGACTCATAGATAGGTCCCAAATGGGTAACCTTGCTTCATTAGAAGAACATCAGGGCTGATTCATTAGAACATCATAACTAGCAAACAGCAATACATGGGTAAATGGATACGAGCTCTTGGCTCCGCATATTACTAATGACATCCCCGTTTATTTCGATTTGTAATATCCAACTATAATTTTTTCTAACATAATATGCCATTTATAAGATCCCATTTAGTTTTAACACCAAGCAGAAGTACATGCACTGATGTGCTTAGAACTGAAGGGTATAGAGATCCAGTATAGTTCAGACGGCTCCGTGGCGCATTGGCTTAGCAATCAGTTGTTGCGCTGGGGGCCGCGGGTTCGAATCCCGCACGTAACAAGTATTTGTATGGCCTACAAATAATTTTTCCGGGTCTGGATGTTTGTCATTGTGCAATTTATGTTTGTAAACTGCCTCCATGAAACAGGAGAAAATCCTAGTGTGGGGGTAACGTTTTGTTTTTCTTTTTATAAAAAATAAAAAACAAAGTTTTTTTTTTAGGAGATGGAGCAAACGAGCATGCGGCTCACCTGATGGGAAGTGACTACCGCCGCCCATGAACAACCGCAACACCAGGGGAATTGCAGATGCGTTGCCGGCCTTTAAAAAAGGAGTAGGCTCTTTTCTTGAAGGTCCCTAAGTCGTATCGGTCCGGAAAAATCGCTGGTGGTAAACTATTCCACAAGGAAGTTGTGCGAGGAAGAAAACATCTTCTAAATCGCACAGTGGTGGACCGCCAATCATCCAGATGGTGTGGATGGTATCGGAAGTTCTGCCGCGATGTGCGTTCGTGAAATTTGGCGGCTGGGATTAATCCGAACAATTCCTCAGAGCACTCCCCATGGTAAATGCGAAAGAAAATGCTAGAGATGCAACATCTCTTCGCAGTGCCAATGAGTCGAGCCGATTGGAAAGGACTCGGTCGTCGACGATTCGAGCCGCTCTGCGCTGGATGCGGTCAAATGGAAGAAGCTGGCACTGGGGAGCCCCAGCCCAGAGATGGAAACAGTATTCCATGTGAGGCCGAACCTGCGCCTTGTAAAGTTGCAGGCGTTGAGCCGGCATGAAATACTGTCCCGCTCTGCTGAGCACGCCAAGCTTTTTAGAGGCCAATTTGGCCTTCTCTTCCAAGTGACCACGAAACTGCACGCTACTCGATATGTCGACACCGAGGATTCCGATACTGGCTGAGGCAACAAGGGGAGTACCTTGAAACTGAGGAGATACGACAAAGGGGTTCTTTTTAGCGGTAAACGCGCAAACTTGTGTCTTCTGAGGATTAAACTGGACTAGATTTAGTCGCCCCCAATCCGAGACTTTGTCCAACAAAGACTCGACTTCAGACACAAGTTTGTTCCGGTACTCGGTGACGTTTTCCCGAGAAATATTGGCACGGCCGGTGTATAGAGCATCACCAGTGCTGTCATCTGCATAGCAATGAATGCTACCAGCTTGCAACATATCATTGATATGCAGAAGAAACAGCGTTGGTGATAGCACGCAGCCTTGTGGAACACCAGCGTTAATAGCCTTGTAGTCGGAGCATGCACCGTCTACAACGACCTAGTATATTTATACAGGCTGTGAGGCCTCAAAGTTGGCAAGACATCTGTAATCTTCTTTGTTTGAAGTTGGTTGCGGGTTTCCATGAACGTAGGTACCATCAGGTGAACTAGAAGCTAGTTTGTCACTTCAATTAATAAAAAAGAAATCCTACAATCCTTAAACATTACATCCCATTCTAAGCCCTTTATTTATAATTGACGTCACATCTAACAAAAAACTTCAACTTTTATTTGTAGATGTTCGTGCACAGAACAATAATTTGTTAAATAATAAATCCATTTAAAATAAGGATACGACTGGCCAAAAAAAAACTAATTAAAAAAATGCTGAAACGTGAAAAACAAATTTCATTTACTTACAGTTTTCAAAAAGCATCTCCTATTGTGTAAAGACAGAGCTTTAACATCTGTAGATGAATCCATTACCGAAATGTCAATTGTTACATCAAAATATGTTGCAGTTGTCACTGTTATAGCACTGTCTATTAGTGTTATGTTATTTTGTTCATCAAATATAAACATCTGAAAATGTGAAAAAGATATGTATTCTAAAATATTTCGATTAAAACAAATTTCTCCATAAAATTAGTATCTTGGTAATAAAGACTCGTAAGTAGCATAACAATAGCGTAGCTACAAAATTAAGAAATTCGTGCTACTTTCTTAATTTACTTTCCTTGGAAAGGAATCCGAATAATTTCCCTTTAATTACTGTTGTGGCTTAAAGAAAAGTGTTCATTTCTTGATTGGAAGGACATTATTTGTAAATAAATGTAATAATAATATGCAACTTATAAGTTTAGATTCAGAATAAGTGAATATAATATTATTTTATTTTTAATTAAAGGTGAAAATGTATTCTTATTAACATTTTCGTGGTTTTTCATTTTACACGAATCAAGAAAATATATTTTTTTAATTTCTTAATGTTTTTTTTTTTTTATAGGATAAGGGTGACAAACGAGCACACAGTCCACCTGATGGTAAGTGGTTGCTGCGGCCCATAGACATCTACATCTATCCTCTGTTACAAATCAAAATGTAGATGCGTTGTCACCCGTGAGGACTAAGATGGAATGCCTGATTACCAGTAAAAAGGGCCTCCGGCCACCTGCACACACCAAGCGAAACGCAGAGGTAAACCTCTACTTCACGCTGGTTTTCTGTGAGGTCGTGGTACCACCCCGGTTCGAGCCGGCCCATCCGTGCGACAGTAAAAGCTGCCGCGTGGCTCTACCACTGTTTTATATCGAAAACCAACTGCTGAACACTCCTATAAATTGAATCAATGGGGGATTTTGCCATATTTGTCATTCTTAGCAGGCAAATTGATAACCGCAGTTTTTGAAGTGAAATTTCTTTAGTATCGTTGTAATTTCAAACGCGATGAAACGAAAAAGCGGCACTGAAAATAGACAAACAATCATCTATCATATAGCCTGCGAGAGAATGAGATAGAATCTATACTTGCTTATAAAATAAAGTGAAGAGGTTTTTTGGTTATTTAAACACGTTAATCTTTGGAACTACCTGTCCGATTTGATTATTTCTTTTTGGGTATGATAGCCAAATTGAAGAGATATAGTATAAGTTAGTTATGGCTATATGGCTATCTAGCATTATGTTACACCTCTCAACTAGCCTTAAATATTGAAAATTGTTAAGCAAGTCGGAAGATAAACACTCCAGAACTGCTTTACATGCGTGCACTGGCGTAATTGTTAGCGATAGGAACTTCACACATGCTCTTTTATAATTTTTTTGAGTTGTTATCAAGAAGATGCTGCTGCCCGTCATCTCTTTCAAGTTCCCTATTTCGCCTCTTTCGACACCCAAGGGACAAATTTGTGTAGTGGATATTTTTACAAAAACGGGCACCAACTATGGGATTCAATCTCAGACTGCGGGACTCGGAATCACTTATGCTTATTACTACGAATCGAGTTTTAAACTATTGTGTAATATACTAGCGGGTACCCTGCGCGTTGCTACCGCAGAAAAAATAATAGTGGATTTTTTTTCAAATTTGGAAGAGATATGGTTAAATAAGGAATTTTAATGCATTTATTTAAATTAAATGATACATTACTTTCAAATAAATTTATCGATACGATACGCACACCAACTATTGAAAGTAAATTGTACTATGCCGATAACCTTAATAAGTTACCAAAGTCTTACCGCAATCTGAAGTACGGTATGATAGCGTATAAAATACGTACACATAAAAATTATTTTTTATTAATGTTGTTAACTTGTAACTACTAACTATATATATATATAATAAAGGTGAATTTTAATGAATATATTTTGATATTGAGTTAATGTCCATATTAATACGGATATTCACTGGTAAAATGAATATAATATGGATACTAATTTTAGCAATGGTTTTATACGTTGTTCTAAATAATTATATTCGTAAGAAGATCAAATAATAGAAAAACAATAAAAATATTAAATATAAAAATAAAATATTCGACTCTAAAAGGATCTTTGCGGTGCAAACAAAACATTGCCATCGCCAGCTCTTCAAAACGCTTAATTTTAATTTTAACTTATAAATATATTTAGCGTCATGCGATACCGTGCTAAAGTATGCTATATATGCAAAAGCCTAGATTTTCTTTTACAAAAGTCATCGTAAATATGAAACTGATGTAATATTTCAAATAAAATAGTTTAAACATACCAAAATAGAACCGAGAGTATTTATACCATTGTTATCAAATTTCTCAGTGTTTAGAACTATATCCAACGCTTCAGTAAGATCTGTACCAGCTGCATAATTTATATTTTCTCCAGCCAATGATCTGGAAATAATATCTTTTTATTTATCATTCATTTAACAGTATATCTACACACACACATTGATAGGAAAATGGTGAAAAACTTAATTATGTACAAAGGCACTGCTTATTCCATGATGAAATTTCTTCCAGTAGGCCTATTGAAGGATATTTGAAGGAAATAAAGGTACACAAAGTGTGTACTAAGATGGAATATACATAAGCATAATTTTTATACATATACATATTATATACAATGTATATATGTATATAAATACTGTATATGTATTTAATAAAATAGTGAATCGTGTCTCAATGTTATCTAAATAACCTCCTCATCGCAATATCTGGCAGTTAAGCAGATATTACAGACAGACACTTTAATGTTATTCAACTATCTCCTTATATAGTTGTCGAGATTTTTTTAATCTTTAAAATTTTTAAGTCTGTCCTTTTTATGTTCGCAGGCCAGAAACTTATATCTGAAGTTTATTATTTTCTTTTTTTATCCAAGAAGAAGTGAATACCTTGGAGCATGGGAGAGAGATAGTTTTATGTTACCTGTAAATGTGCTGTAGCTATTTTATGGTTGCTGCACGTTTGGGTCGGCTCGACCGGGAATCATGCTCTCGTAGAATAATTTGAAATAATTAAATTGTGTATACGCCACTTATGGATATATAAAAAGAAAAACAAAACAAGTGAGATTATATGAGCGTAATGATCATCATATCACATATTACTTTAAAAATGCGACCAAAAAAATTCTAAAAACGAAACTACCTAGTATTTGCCTGATAGCAGATTAATCATATTTGCATAGAAATACCGTAAGTATCTAGAATATTAACATGCAACGGTGTTTAAGGTTTTCTTTATAGGATATGTGTGACAAACGAGCGCACAGTTCATCCGATGGTAAGTGGTTGCTGTGGCCCATAGACATCTACATCTATCATCTATTACGAATCAAAATGTAGATATTTTGTTGTCAGCTGTGAGGACTAAGATGGAATGCCTCGTTTCCAGTAAAAAGAGTATCCGGTTCTCTTTACTAACCATACGAAACAGAGCAGCGTTAAGCTGCTATTTTGCGCTGGTATTCTGTGAGAATGTGATCTCTCCCCGGTCGAGCCGACTCATTCGTGCCACAACTATACCAGTAACATAGCTGCGGCATGGCTCTACCACGGTATGATGATTCTTGTCTTCCGATCACAAATCGTACTTGAGTATATCCAAGTTTACTTTCTTTTATTTATAACACTCTCTTTTCGTAGGTAGCTGATCTCAATTGGCTTAGGTACAAATGTAAATTATAAAATCAACTTTAGCAAACCTGAAGTAAGATAGATCAAATTGACAACAGTATCCAAGAAAAGTGAACACCGACCGAAAGATTTGTGAACAGTCGTATGACTTTGACCTCCATAAACATTCTTCTATTAGTTTTTCGCAAGGCTTTTTAAGCTAAAAAAAAATTAAATTATGCTGAAACTCAATCTACTTAAGAAGATGAAGAAAATGTAATAATAATACGGGTACAGTATCAAGCTGCCGTTTATAATGGAATGTTCACTTTAATTAAAATTGAATCAAAACCTTCCAAGATTCCTGATTAAATATTTTCTTACAGAAAATCTTAGGCATTTTACATCGCATATCTTCATTACATACCATATATATTAGGTTATTGTACGTATATCCAAGGTTCTCCAGTATGTTGTGAATTTTCTTAATATTAGATTTTACCACGTAACCTTTTTGTTTTATTTCCGTTAAGCTTCGATAAAATTCATTAATATGACCAGTTTCAAAACCACGAAGTTGCCTGTAATTTGAAAATTGAACAGAAAATAAATTATTAGCCGTTAATACACTACTTTTAACGTCATTATCATATATTGAGACTTAAAAAACTGATAAGCAATCAAAATATCAAGTATTCTGCATCTGTGATGCTGCTCGCCCCCATCTGTTTTGTCTTGAATCTTGCATATTTTAAACATATTATCCTTTAATGTGACTATTTTAAAAGAGAAATAAAGAAGGAAAAGAACCGGTTTTTTGACGGATATTTACTTTAATAACTTAAATAAACAAAAAAAAAGCTTGTCAAGATTTAAAATAACCCGCTAAGTTAAGCAAACTTTATAACACTTTTTTTTTGCAAATATGGGTTCTGAGTTGTTAAATATACTTAAAACCAATAGGCGGAAAATATTCCGCCTCTTCTTAGCACTATAAATCTTTAATACGAGTAATCAAAAATATCTCTTTTGTACTTCTTTAAACTAGTAAAGATGAACACAAACGTCTCATTTTTAATCTTAACACTGATTGTGGTGCATAAAGACTATATCGTCGACAAATTGAAGGTGAGTGATTTTTTTTATAGGAGAGGGGGCAAACGAGCATGCGGCTCACCTGATGGCAAGTGACTACCGCCGCCCATGAACAACTGCAACATCAGGGGAACCAGGGGAATTGCAGATGCGTTGCCGGCATTTTAAAAAGGAATAGGCTCTTTTCTTGAAGGTCCCTAAGTCGTATCGGTCCGGAAAAATCGCTGATGGTAATCGATTCCACAAAGAAGTCGTTGAGGAAGAAAACATCTTCTAAATTGCACAGTAGTGGACCGCCAATCATCCAGATGGAGTGAATGGTATCGGGAGTTCTCCCGCAATGTGCGTTCGTGAAATTTGGCGGCCGGGATTAATCCGAACAATTCCTCAGAGCACTCCCCATAGTAAATGCTGGGGATGCAACATCTCTTCGCAATGCCAATGAATCGAGCCAATGACCGATCGGAAAGGACTCGGTCGTCGACGATTCGAGCCCCTCTGCGCTGGATGCGGTCAAGTGGAAGGAGCTCGCACTGGGGAGCCCCTGCCCAGAGATGGGAACAACCCTCCACCTTCTATGGCACCAGCGACCCTCAGGTCATTCGGGCTGAATCTCGGGAGATGCGCGCGATACTTGCACTTGGCTCTTTTCCCGCGCGCACTTTCTTGACTCCCTACAAATATTTCATCTATTCCTTGTCCCAATTTTACGTCACTCTCCCCCTTCTAGGGCTGACGGCACTATAACGCCTACGACATCGGGCCCTCCTACCAGCATTCTCTCCTGCACCATTCCACGATCGCGACACCCATGCGCAAAACTCGCGCAGCAGGCCGTAGTTCACCCAAGTGGCGTTGAGTCCGATAATATTGCTGAGGTGGGTCAGCACAGCTGCTCCAATTGTTGGGTCAGCAAGTTAAACGCCAGCCTAGGGATGACCGCCCCCCTGAACGATCCCCGCAACCTGGGAGTACTGTTCTTGTGCAAGAACAATTGCCAGGTGCAGTTCACGCACCATGTTAGGCAACTCAGCCGTGGCAAGCTACCCCCGACCCAGGTTATTTGTCCTAGTCGTCCCTTACAGGTAGTATTGAGTGCTGGCCACAGAGCGTTGCTCTGCATACAGCCTGCCCAGCAGTTCCTCACCACGGTTACGTGCGAGCCAGAGATCTACCAAATTGCTTGCACGTAGCGCACTTCTCCTCCGTGGACTTGCAAGCGCCGCGCTCATGCCCTTCCTCTCCACATTTTCCACATACGACCTCCTTCGATCGGCAGTACTTCGCAGGATTCCCATACTGTTGACACCTCTGGCAGCACGTGACATACACGTAATCACACTGCTTCACCACGTCCCAGCCGACGTATAGCCGGTTGTACCCGATCAGGATATCTCTCAAGGCAGCTGAATATTGACGGATTACGGTTGTCCGCCTGCGTCCTCTCCAGGACTTCTTGAAAGCGATTCTGCAGTATTCTTTCAAGTTTTCTTTGGTACATCCACAAGCAGCAAGGTTCTGCTCGTAGAGACCACTAATGACATCCTCGTTCTTGGGGTCCTCCTCAAAACCTCTGAGAGCCACCAGGGGTAAACGTTTCCTGGACTCAGTCACCGTCAATGATGGAGGGGCAGCAGTCTTCAGCTTCTCTGCTGCTTCCTGGGACGTGGTTTGGACCACGACACCCACATTTCCAACCTTCCTCAACTTGTCAATCTGAAGCCCGCTGGTCTTGCGGTTGACTACCTTCTTGAGCTCCAGTTTTGTGTTATCAATGGACCTTCCGTCTCAGCCGGGTAGAACGCGACAAATGGGCCTTTGCTCACTGGCATCATCATTTGGTCGGCCTCCTTCGGCAGTCTCAACGCCGCCGAGTATGACCGTTGCGGTTGAAAAGGTACGAAGTTTGATATTAAAATAGCCTTGAAAAAACCTAGGATGTTATTATCAATAATCTTAAAAATACATAGTTGTATTGATTTGTTGGATAGCATAACGAATTCTGGTACAAAGAGGTATTATAAAGTTTGTAAAATTATTCCGGTAAAAGATTTTATGCCCAGTTTTAGAGGAAGTCCATTGCTTATTAAAGCAAACAAATTATACCGTTCGTTAATCTAACAAAATTACAATATGAAAAAAACACAAATTACAATATCATTGCTTAAACTTGGTTTAAGCAATGATATTGTAATTTTTTTGAATTTAAAAAATTGAACGCACACACACCCACACACGCACACATGCGCATACACACACACACACACACACACACACACACACACACACACACGCACGCACGCACGCACACACGCACACACATACGTGCGCGCAATAGCACAGGGTAAAGAGGCTTGGACTCCGGTCTACGCAAAATATATTTACTCTTTGAATTGTCAATAAGAAAAAAAATAGTCTGTAACGAATAAATTATGCAATGTACTATTTGTGGGAGAAAATAATAAACATCAGCTTTGTGTAATTATTAATATATTACTCACAACAACTTTGTGATGTTCTTTGTACTAGGGCCGTAGACCATTTTAGTATCGCAAATCGCAACAGCAGGAAATGGAATACTTTCAGTTGGATAATGAGTTGTCTCCACCTGTTAAAAATGTTGTTTAATTTATATTTATTTGCTTAGTTCATGTCGTTGCGTAACCGCAATTAGTCCAGTTGGTATCGTAAGAGGCAACTATAAGAAATGCCAGAAATATCTCATGTCTCGTTTACGGAAGACGTAAATTCCTCGAATGGTGAAAAACACCAGCGTCAAAGGTGCGAGACGTGTGGTACAGCAATCGTCAATCTTCCTGCCAAACGTGACCATTAAGGTAAATTCTAACTATATCAGGAAGGGCTCATAGCAAGCAATGGACTTATGGGTACTAAACGAACTATTAATACTTGCCACAGTAAACGTTGGATCCGTAATGAATTTTTCCCAAATCATATGACTTAAGAAAGCACACAGCCCGGTACTAAAAGCAATGGTGCTAAACCAAAATATATAAACCCATTTATCTGCACTGTTATAAAAGTAACGCACTCCATGGAGCGTGCAAGTTTTAACAAATTCTGAAAGTTTAGTTACTAAAATGCTTTGTGAAATCCTCATTTTTAATACATCGATAGTCCTTGTTGAAATCGCTACTTAAATTATTTTTAATGGTAATTGCTGACGAGTATATCTTATTGTATTTTATTCGAAATGAAAAGTTTTAATCTACAACCACAATAACCTCAAACATTTTTACTTTTAAATTAACTTACGAGCCATTAATGTTAATGGATTCACTAGTTTCAAATAGTTAAATATCTTCGGCTGCGGTACTTTGCTGGAGTTCTAATTGCCTTGAATAAAATTTCTTGAAAAGTTGTCCTTGGGAGTATTTTATATAATTTTTTTTATTTTGATGCAAACCACTAAGTATTTTTATTTCTTTTCGAATTTAAAGCTTATAAATTAATAAGTTAAGTGGCGCAAGTATGATTCTCTTGGAGATAGACAGAAATATTTGAGCCATTTGCTATAGAGATTATAGGTTCGTGGGGACCACGTGCAGTGAAGTTCCTAAAAGAGCTGTATCCGCTACTCGTCGTCGTTGCTGGTGATAAGAAGGCTGTATTTTTTTCTCGCTCAAAGGCTAAGTATAACCATTCAGTAAAGAAACGCAGCCAGCTTTCTTACTACCGCGGGGACTGTATGATAATTTAAGTATTTTTTTTAAATTATGGGTTTTAATATTGTATATATTTCAATTTTATGTAAACCTGTACCGTGTAGTGGCGGTGTAAGAATATCCACTACCCCATATCATCCAGTGGATGTTTTAAGAGGCGACAGAGGGAAACAAATTAGGAGATGGGCAGCAAGTATTCCTAATAACGCCTTAAAATAAAAAAAAAAGTCGAACTCGCGCCCTGAGGGTTCCGAACTAATCCGTAGGTATATAAGTTTAAAATAATAATATTCCTTTATCTATGCTATAAAACGTTGCTTCGTACCAAATTTCAAGATTCTGGATTCACGGGAAGTACTCTGTAGGTTTTGATTCCTTTGCAAATGTCAAAAATTTGCGGCATAAACGGCTGTATCTTTTGATTGCGTTGGCCTAGAAGTTTGATATTTTCACAGCTCTAAGGGACAGTAGACTTGAGTATTTGATATGAATTTCAGCTTGATACCTCCACGCGTTCCTGAGAAAAAGGGTCTTGACAGACAGACAGACAGACAGACGGACAACAAAGTGATCCTATAAGGGTTCCGTTTTTTCCTTTTGAGGTACGGAACCCTTAAAACCTGCGGTCGACAACCCTCTTGCTAAGACGTGGAAATTATGGCAAATATCTCCCTATGAGGTAATCTGTGGGGGAGGCCTTTGTTCAGCAGTGGACTTCAATAGGCTGTAACGGTAACAGTAACGGGAAATAAATAACTTTAAACTTTAGTTAAGAAAATTCTCGCTAATTGTGCGAGATGTCTGCAAATGTGGTCACAAATCCATCCAAGTCTGGCAATTATGGCAGTTCGTCCCTACAACGGCAGAGGTCTATTTGCAGAAGAACTATTACAAATTAATGATTAAAAGGAAGAAAACATGACTTAAGTCAGTGAGTCAGTCTATACGCGCTCTATTGTTAAAAGAGCCTGATGAAAGTGAGAAGAGTTTGATGGAGGGTTTTTTAAAATTCACCACGCTTGGTAAGTGACTTGCAATCTTAATATCAGCTACAACGCTGCTAGCCATTGTCATTCTATGTATTTAAAATCATTTGGCTTATCGCTAATATCCTCACCAAATGACTATCAAAAGTTCATTGCTGAACACAGGCCGCCCCCATGGAATGCATCAAGGGGGGATATTTAGGACCACTTTATCTAGATATAAGTTGCCCAATTTCTTTCCACTGGACCGTCTTCTATAGGAGACAATGTTAAATTTCACGGCATTTCTTATAATACCACTCGAAACACAGCAACATTAAACTGTTATTTCACGCTGGTATTCTATGGAAGCGTAGTCCTTCCTCGGTCTAAATATTATTCACGTTGTACAATATTAATTTAAACTCAGTAAAATTTGTTTTATTAAATATACGAAACCGTTATATGGTTTTTTAACGTTAAACTTAAATAGATTGTTAACATAGTGGGAGGCACAAAAATGTCAATTAAAATTACCATCAACCTTGGACTCCACTTAAAATTTTGGAACAGAATTTATTAATTGTGTTTTAATTTCTTTTCTGAGTGGTAATATATAATTAAAATGAAGTACAGTTGAAAAAAAAAGAATCGTTAAGTATAAAGTAACTATGTTTATAATTTAATGTCATGGATATTTGAAAATGGTTACAAACAATTTTATGTCCTGCTGTATAAAACAATCCAGTGGTTAAATTTGTTTTAGTTTGAAAAAACATTATTTCAAACTGACAGCACATTTTTCAGCTTTTTGCCTTCACTACAATCAACTCCAGTATACATTTTTAGAATGTTTGTAAAAAAGAAGCAAAGCAATGTTGTTAAATCGAAATACTTAATACAATCAATTTCAACACTGCACGGAACAACTCAACTATCGATTTTATCAGGCAAGAATGAGAATATATGGAAGGGAATATTGATTTTAAATTTAATTTTAACCATTGCATTTGTGTTGGTTATAAGAAACAGATATAATAATGATCAAATTATAACACGGGTAAGTGCCGTTAAAATTTTTTTAAACTTTGTTTGGATTTTTTAATATTTAATTATATCTGTAATTAAGCCGTCATTAAGTACTAATAACTTTCGGACCAAAACTGTTTCAGTTTGGACGAATGAGGGACAGTTCTTACCCTAAAGCTACCTACTTAATAAATTGGTACTTAATCGGCAGACTCATTAAAATTGTTAGGCATTAGACATTACCACTTTTATCGTATATTAAACGAGTATATACGACGAGTACGAGCTTTAGCACAGAGCCGGAGTTTTTTTTTATAGAATAAGAGTGACAAACGAGAACACAGTCCACCTGGTGGTAAGTGGATGCTGTCGCCAATACACATCTACAGCTATCTTCGATTAAGAATCAAAATCAAAAGAAAAAAGGGTCTCCGATTCTTTAAGCTCACCATACGAAACACAGCAGTATTATGCTGCTATTTTACGTTGGTATTCTGTGAGAGCATGGTCCTTCCCCGGTCGAGCCGACCCATTCGTATTACAACCACAATATAGTTGTAGGATAGTTCTACCACGTATAACAACAATGTATAGTCCTATATTAAGTATATCTGTTTCATATTTAGTCAAGTGTATGTATGACCCATTGTACCACATTTATTTTTCTCATTTTTTGTCAATATTTATGTTATTTTTTGGCGTACAATTCAGTGTTATCTATCTATCTATCTATCTATGCATCCCTATGGATTTTCTAAAAAAAAATATACATACGGCTACGAATTTTTTCAATTGTTAGAAATAATAATAAAAATTATAAAAGTCATCGAAAAAGCCAAAAATATATAACAGTAACAGTACAGCCTCATTACTGACGATCTCGGATGATGCATCCTGTGGGACGTCATTATAGTGCAGACTTTTCTGTCGAGAGCGTTCAGTTCGGTCTGAGTCCACCAAGAGTTGAAAGTTGAGTATGCCAAAGGTATATATGAGAACAGGCATGATCCAACCGTTATATGCGTGCGTCTTATTCACACCGGACAAAAGGCTATTAAGCACTTTGGTCAAGCGTGCGTAAAACAGATCGCAAACTGACCGTTTCATACCCGCCTCATCTACACCGATGTTCTGTGACATACCCAGGTATCGGTATGTTTCAGCCTCGGAAAGGGTCTTTATGCTGATGGGCATAGATAAGTCTATGCCCTCAGAGTTAGCAACCCTTCCCCTTTCGACGTGGAGAATCGCACACATATATTTAACGTATAACGAGAAATAAAGATTACTTGGGTGGTCTAATTGAAGACTTTTGGTACCGAGTGGAGTTTTAAAAACGCGGTAGCCCACATTTGTATATGTTATTCTTTTGTAGTAATACCCTGGATTTCTCCAATTCCGAAAAAGTTGCTGTAATTGAAAGGGTTGTTTCATTTTCATTAACTCCTAAGGACCTTATGTTGCGTAAATTAGTTAAGGATTTGCAGATTCATAAACACACTGCAACATGCAAAAAAAATCGCCAAACTGATAGTTGTCGATTTGATTTTCCAAAGCCAGCAAGTGTTAACACCGTTTGTCTTGGACCAGATGAAGCACTTGCTAACAATGGACAATTCTCTATATTGAAACAAACCTCAAATAACACTATGGTAAACAATTACAATGCGGTTCTTTTAAATATATGGAAGAGAAATATTGACGTGCAAGCGTCGCACCAACCTCGGCACACCCCGATGAGGAGGTGGAGGAAATGTATGAGGATATCTCTAGAGCCATGCATTCCTCCAAAACCCAATATACGGTGTTAATGGGAGACTTCAATGCAAAACTAAGCACAAGAGAGAATGGTGAGCTGAAAGTAGGGAAATTTGGAATAGGGCAAAGGATACCAAGGGGCCAGCAGCTGGCCGATTTCATGGAGAAAGAGGGACTCTTTATGATGAACTCTTTCTTCCAAAAGCGGCCCCACAGGAAGTGGACCTGGTCGAGCCCCGACGGTTCGACAAAAAATGAGATTGACTTCATTATGACGACCAGACGACAACTGTTCAGTGATGTCTCAGTGATCGCGAAGGTGAAAACCAGCAGCGATCACCGAATGGTTAGAGGCACACTGAACCTAAACGTTAAGTTAGAGAGGTCTCGTCTAATGAAGTCAACGCTCCGTCCCCCTCGTGCTCTAATCCAAAGCCCCGAAACCTTTCAGCTCGAGTTACAAAACCGTTTTCAGTGCCTAGCAGACTGCAATAAAGTGGACGATATGAGTGACAAGCTCGTGGAAACTGTCCATGCGGTCGGAGCTAAGTTCTGCAAGACCCGCCGCAGAAGAACACAAAAACTCTCCGATCACACTCTTAATCTTAAGGCTGTTAGACGGGAGATGAAGCTACATTCTTCAACAGATTTGACAACATACAGGCAACTGAACAGACAGATCTCTAAATGCATGCGGCGGGACTTACGCAACTTCAATACAGCTCGTATTGAAGAAGCGATCGAGAAAGAGCCAAGTGTCAACGCTGAAGACAGAGTGTGGCAGCATCGTTTCCGGGGCACCTGAGATTTTGAGTAAGATTAAGAGGTTCTATGGGCAGCTGTACACGTCATCGTTGGAGCCACACGCAAGTGTGAGAAACGATCCAAGAGCGAGTCTTATCCGACATTATTCAGATGATATTCCGGACGTTAGTCTGAGCGAAATTAGAATGGCTCTCCAGCACCTTAAAAACGGCAAGGTCCCAGGCGAGGATTGAATTACAGCGGAGCTTCTGAAAGCGGGTGGAAAACCGGTACTTGAAGTCCTTCAGAAGCTCTTTAATTCCGTCCCCCATGGTGGCATTACACCGGAGGCGTGGAGCAGAAGTGCGGTGGTCTTGTTCTTCAAGAAAGACGACAACGCTCTCTTGAAGAACTACAGACCAATTTCCCTTCTCAGCCGCGTCTACGTGCTGTTTTCGAGAGTCATTACGAATCGTCCCGCGCGCAGACTTGACGACTTCCAGCCTCCCGAACAAGGCGGTTTCCGAAAAGGCTTTAGCACCATAGAACACATACATACCCTTCGGCAAATGGTACAGAAGTCCGAGGAGTACAATTTCCCACTAAGTCTGGGGTATGTGGACTGTGAGAAAACCTTTGATTCCGTCGAAATTTAGGCGGTGCTGCAGTCTCTTCAGCGGTGCCAAGTTGACTGTCGATATATCAAAGTGCTGAAGTGTTTGTATAGTAGAGCTACGATGGCTATCCGAGTACAGAACCAGAGTACGAACCCTATACAATTGCAGAGAAGTGTAAGACAGGGTGACGTCATATCCCCGAAATTCTTCACCGCTGCATTCGAAGACGTTTTCAAGCTTCTGAACTGGAAAGGATACGGTATCAACATCAATGGCGAGTACATCACTCACCTTCGATTTGCCGACGATATAGTCCTTATGGCAGAATCGCTGGAGGACCTAAGCACTATGCTCAATGACCTCGATAGTGTTTCCCAACGGATAGGTCTTAAGATGAACATGGACAAAACAAAGATCATGTTTAATGTCCATGTCACACCTATGCCGGTAGTTGTTGGGAACACTAAGCTCGAAGTTGTTGACGAGTATGTTTACCTGGAACAAATAGTCCGACTAGGTAAGTCCAACTACGACCGAGAGGTCAATCGACGGATTCAACTTGGTTGGGCAGCCTTCGGGAAATTACGGCACATTTTCTCGTCAGGTATACCTCAAAACTTGAAAAAGAGACTGTACAACCAGTGCGAGTTGCCAGTGATGACACACGGAACTGAGACGTGGTCCTTCACTGCTGGCCGAATGAGGAAGCTCAAGGTCACTCAGCAAGCTATGGAGAGGGCTATGCTCGGAGTTTTTCTGCATGATAAACTCAGAAATGAGGATATCCGCAGTAGAACCAGAGTGACCGACATAGCCCATCGGATTAGTAAGCTGAAGTGGCAATGGGCCGGCCATATAGCTCGAAGAACCGACAACCGATGGGGAAGAAAGGTTCTCGAGTGGCAGCCTCGTACCGGCAGGCGAAGTGTTGGGCGTCCCCCCACTAGATGGAGTGACGACCTGGTAAGATATGCAGGAAGTCGATGGATGCAGGTGGCTCAGGACCGTGCTTTGTGGCATTCTTTGGGGAGGCCTATGTTCAGCAGTAGACTTGTGAAGGGCTGTAATGATGATGATGATGAAATAAGACAATTAAACTATATTATATCTAGAAGGTTGGAATGATTTACGTGCATAATTGTGTGGTTTAATATAAATTTAAATTGCAGCTCTAGAGCGTGATGAACTATGTCTATTTAAGCGTGTATGTTAGTATTAATAATAATAATAAATATTTTTTATAGGATAGGGTGACAAACGAGCACACAGTCCACCTGATGTCAAGTGGTTGCTGCGGCCCATAGACATCTACATTTATCCTCAATAAAGAATCAAAATACAGATGCGTCGTCACCCGTGAGGACTAAGATGGAATGCCTCTTTTCCAGTAAAATGGGTCGCCGGTTCTCTACACTCACTATACGAAACACAGCAGCATTAAGCTGCTATTTAACGCTGGTATTCTGTGAGAGCGTGGTCCTTCCTCGGTCGAGCCGACCCATTCGTGCTACAACTATACTACTAATATAGCTGCAGCATTGCTCTACCACGTATAAATTATTTAATTTCCAATTACACATGTTTACATACAGGAACAAATATGATTACAATTAAATAAAGTAACAATCAGTCTAACAAAAATAACGTCCTATGTTAAAATTAAAACTATGTGTAGCTTAATAATGTAGTAATCTACAAAATAAAAATAGAAAAGTCAAGTTTATATTAGCTTCCTGTCTCAACTAGGTGGAGTACCTGAGTTTCAGACATCACTTTCGCAATAGGTTGAATAATGTAGGACTGTTGATAATTCACACAATAACCCACAATAAAATTAACACAAACTATTTTAGAATTTCTAACAACTTCTCTGTGCCTTCGTAATTTAATTTATTTAGAAATTCCCTTTCACTTATATTACAGTTCTTATAACTTAGACTATATACCTTTAGTGACTTGTTGAGCTTGTTATATAGAAAGGGTCCTAAAATATGTCAAATTTATTCACAAATGCGTGTTTGGTTTGAGGGTTTACACAAACTAAGTCCATTCTTCTCCTGTCTATGGATTTTAAGATTTTAAATGTACGTTCGATATGCTGTTTTAGTATGATGTTCAGGATAAACAACTGACGGACAGTACACTACATGCCAAGTAAAGTTGATGTGTAGGAAACATGAATGGACGGAAAGTGGCTACCTTTAGAACTGCTCTCTGAGCACGTTCTATTGGGAGCAATATTGTTTTTGAAGCACCACCCCATGAAGTCCTGTCTTATCAATTTGAAGTCAGCTATGTTACAAAGATATTTAAAATATATATTAATTTACGAACTCTAGCATAAAATAAATCGTATAATATTTTATATTGTCTGTTTTTGTTAATGGGGGACATGCACATGCAGTGTCATCATACGAGTTACAATGATGAGCGTAAATATTTAGGTCAGCAGGTATGTTATTATTTCTCATTAAAAATAACATATATTGTGTTTTATCAGCGTTAAACCGTAGGAGATTATTAAGAAGCCAATTAGATACTATGTTAAAGCCTTGCTGAGCGTATTTATAAATCTCATCTCGTGATTTAGCTGAGAATAACAGGACTGTGTCATCCGCATACGATATTATGACACCATTTTGAGTTGAAAATTACATTGCAGTGTATGCAGGTGGCTAATGACTTCATCGTCACATCAAAAGATGTATCATAGAAATAATTTTCTTTTTAGCTTTTTAGTGTATAACTTGTTGAGTGTTACAGTTGCACAACACCCTATATTATTAAATGCTATCAAAAATCGATTTAAATTTTATTAAGAATACATATAGTTACATGTGATTACAGCAGATTTTCGTCATTTTTTGAAAAATTCCGTTGTATTTCACCGAAGATCTTTATTAGAACATCACCAAATTAAAATGGTACAACCTCGAAATACTACGATGCTCTTCCAAACCACCTTTTACCGTTATTCTTGTTGTTGTTCGATTTTACATAGACAAGTAATAAATATAAATATAAAATGAGAACATCGTCAATGCAATTAAAGTCAATTATATATGCATTATTATGGATAACTCAAAAACTACTGGTCAGATCACATTTATCGGAAAGAACTTGGTCGTCGACGATTCGAAGCGCTCTGCGCTCGATGCGGTGAAGTGGAAGGAGCTGACACTGGGGAGCCCCTGCCCAGAGATGGGAACAGTATTCCATGTGAGGCCGAACCTGCGCCTTTTATAGTTGCAGGCGGTGTGCCGGCATGAAATACTGTCCCGCTCTGCTGAGCACGCCAAGCTTTTTAGAGGCCAATGTGGCCTTCTCTTCCAAGTGACCACGAAACTGCACGTCATTCGATATGTCGACGCCCAGGATTCCGATACTGACTGAGGCAGCAAGGGGAGTGCCTTGAAACTGAGGAGATACGACAAAGGGGTTCCTTTGTCGTATCGATAGCATATAAGCGACATAATATATACGACATAATAAGCGAACATAGCGATAAAAGCGCAAACTTGTGTCTTCTGGAGATTGAACTGGACTAGATTTAGTCGCCCCCAATCCGAGACTTTGTTCAACAAAGTTGACTTCAGACTCAAGTTTGTTCCGGTACTCGGCGACGTTTTCCCGAGAAATACTGGTACGGCCGGTGTATAGAGCAGCACCAGTGCTGTCATCTGCATAGCATTGTATGTTACCAGTTTGCAACATATCACTGATATGCAGAAGAAACAGCGTTGGTTTGTAGTGTCGTTAGTTTAATCTGTAATTTTATTTTTTTACTTAATTTTCCGTAGTTGAATTTTGATAATCTTGAAAAGAAAGTTCTAAACGCGGTATCTAGTCATTTTTTTTTAAATTATCTTAATATAATATATTTTATATAAAATGAAATATTTAAAAAAATAAATGTGTGAAAATATAATATATTTTCCTTAATACTATAGTGACGAAGCTATAGCATGCCTTAAGCTCAAATCGCGTAGGTATGTTCTACTAGCGCCTAATAATCAAGATGCTAACGTTTTGTCGCATAAAATCGTATCCAACAATCATATTGATCATACAAACGATATGGAACGCACATTGTCAGAAAGATAAATGATTGTTAAACTTATTAATAAAAAAAAAATTAATCGATTAATTGCTATTTTTACATAAAAAAGTGGTATAAGTAGCTTATCGTGTAGAATTATCAAGTCCTCATGGAGTGGTAAACACGATAACTTTTGAAAATATCAATTGTTTAACTAAATGTATTTTTTAATCTCTTCATCTCTCATGTGGAAAGCCATGGAATGTAAATGTCAGTTTAATTTTGTTTTTTTTAGTTATAATTATTTTTTTGCGGCTGCGAAATGTCTTAATTGTATTAATGCTTGTATTAATTTATTTTACTAAATAGATTGTCTCACTCGCTCACTTCAAGCGCCGTCGTGAGTGGATAATGTATCGGTTGTTTGCAGCTACTCAAAAAGATCGCTGTACAAATACAAAATATTCGAAAAACAAAATTTCATACATACTTGATTATTATAATAATCAGAGATTTTTATTACAATATTTTAAAAGCACAGAATAAATAATAGTACTACGTACTAAAAATAAGTAGGGCGTATACATATATTTATACTTTAATACGTCTTGGACTTTATGGAGTGACCTGAATGATGATAATTATAATGTTCATATAAGTATTACAATTCGTGCACTTTTGGATTTTCCAAACTTTTTTTTCAATTAAAGTTTGACATAAAATTATTAGAAAATTGGAAGTATAATAGGGTTAATAGTGTAAACATGTATTTAAAAAAAATCCGTATAATCATGTCACAATCACATGTCACAATTGGATTTACCTATAGTTTGTTTTTTCTTTCCTTAACCGTGTGTATACATATACATTAGACTTAAAACGTGTTACAGAAAATAGTCAGCCAACCCCGATTCCACTTGGTACTACTTGTCTGTCCTACCCCTAGTGTTTTCAGATAGCTGAAAGCGTGGTGCAGCTACTGCTCTTTTATGCAACTTCGTATTTTTTGTAGGCCTACCTCAGCCGCCAAGTCTCGCATAATACCTTTGATTTGTTACGCAATCCTTAGGCTCGATCTAAAAATTTTCGTTTCTATATTTTAAAGCAGATTTGGCAGCATACACCTGAACAGACAGATCTCCAAATGCATGCGGTGAGACGTACGCAACTTTAATACAGCTCGTATTGAAGAAGTAATCGACTGCCAGAAAGAATCGAATCTGAATTCGACTTCAGGCTCTTTCTGGCAGCCGATGGCAGAGAACGAATATGGCAACATCGTTTCCAGGACACCTGAGATTTTAAATGAGATTTAAAGGTTTCATGAGCAGTTGTACACATTACCGTTGGAGCCACACGCAAGTGTGAGTAACGATCCAAGAGCACGTGTTATTCCACACTATTCCGATAATATTCCGGACGTCAGTCTAAGTGAGATTAGAATGGCTCTCCAGCACCTTAAAACGGCAAGTCCTCGGCGAGAATGGAACTACAGCAGATCTTATGAAAGCGGATGGAAAACGGTACTAGAAGCCCTTTAGAAGCTCTTAAATTACGTCCTCCGTGGTGGCACCACTCCAGAGGTGTGCGACAAAAGTGCCGCGGTTTTTTTCCAAGAAAGGTGCAAACACTCTCTTGAAGAACTACCCCTTCTGAGCTGAGTCTACGTGCTGTTTTCGAGAATACTAACGAATCGTCTCACACGCAGACTCGACTACTTCCAGCCTCCCAAAATTACGACACATCTTCTCGTCAGATATACCTCAAAACTTGAAAACGAGATTGTACAAACAGTGTGGCTTGCCAGTGAAGACTTATGAATCTGAGACGTAGACCTGCACTGCTAGCCGTATGAGGAAGCTCAAGGTCGCTCAGCAAGCTATGAAGAGGTCTATGCTCGAGATTTCTCTGAGCGATAAACTTATAATTAAAGATATCCGCCGTAGAACGAGAGTATACATAGACTAACTGATTAGTAAGCTGAAGTGGCAATGGGTCGGCGATATAGCACGAAGAACCAACAACCATTGGGGTAGAAAGGTTCTCGAGTGGCTGTCTTGTACCGGTAGGCGAAGTGTAAGGCGACCTTCTACTAGACGAAGTAACCACCTGATAAAACATGCAGGAAGTTGATGGATGCAGGTGGCTCAAGACTGTGCTTTGTGACATTCCTTGGGGGAGGCCTATGTTCAGCAGTGGACTTGTGAAAGGCTGTAATGATAATATTGATGTTTTAAAAGAAAACCTTTTTTATAAAAAAAACATAATGGAAGAACTATAAGTTCATGTTCAAATTCACAGATAAGCAACCACTGCAAACTTAACCAAATACCATTTCCTGCTATCAGCATTTGCAATCTCAACATTGTATCGAAAAGGGCGAGCGAATCTATTATTCGACTCCTGTGAGTATATTCATAAAAAATATTTTTAAATAATATTGGTTTTGCTATAAATATTAGTAGTATACAGTTAATCACACTAACTAAGCTTTTTATGTAAAATAAGGGTAAGAAACGAGCTCACAGACTACCTGATGGATGTTGTGGCCCACAGACATCTTTATCACCGATTAATAATCAAAATCCGTGGTTGAGCCGTGGTAGCTCAGGGTTTAGCGCTAGCTGTAAATTCCACAGTACGCGAGCAACACGGATTTCATCCCCGCCGGCACCAATGAAATTGTTAAGTGCTGATTTACTACCGGCTCGACGGTGAAGGAAAACATCGCGAAGAAACTTGCATATCTGAGAAATTTAAAAAAATATTTCGACGACATGTGAAGTCCGCCAACATGCATTAGAGCAGCGCGTTGGACACATCCTTGCCGTAAAACCCTCTCAAAAGTGAGGGGAGGTCGTGCCTCAACCATAATATAGCTGCAGCGTGGCTCTACCAAGTAATTAGCTGAAAATGTTTACATAATAGTGATTTTGGATAGTAAATAAAAGACCAAACTTGTTTTAAAATATATTTTTTTATTTTTTTTTATAGGATAAGGATGACAAACAAGCACACAGTCCACCTGATGGTAAGTGGTTGCTGCGGCCCATAGACATCTACATCTGTCCTCTATTACAAATCAAAATGTAGATGCGTTGTCACCCGTGAGGACTAAGATGGAATGCCTCATTTCCAGTAAAAAGGGCCTCTGGCCACCTGCACTCACCAAGCGCAACGCAGAGGTAAACCTACCTCTACTTCACGCTGGTTTTCTGTGAGGTCGTGGTACCACCCCGGTTCGAGTCGGCCCCTCCGTGCGACAGCAAAAACTGCCGCGTGGCTCTACCACTGTTATGTATATATATATGTTTGTAATTGTTAGGTTGGATACGTTTATTGTCGTTTATAACGTCGTTACAAAAATTAACAATTATAAAACACATAGTTTGACGAAACTTTGAAGTGTATAAGTTTTTGTGCCGGATTTAAAACTTTTTTGCTTAGAGAGCATCAAGCAACAAAATGAGCATACAGTCCATCTGAAAGTAAGTAGATGCTGTGCTGTTACAAGTAAAAAGGATCCCTGGTTCTCTACACCCACCATAGGAAACACAGCAGCATTAAGCTGCTATTTCACGCACATATTCAGTGAGAGCGTGGTTAAACGTTACCTATTTGTTGTGTTGTAGGTTGGTTGATATTCTTACACCACAAATACACAACCTTGTATATCAAGAATATCCATCTATTAGCCCGAATGGTCCTGTGGATGTCCTAAAAGGTGACGGAGGGAAACTGAAAAAGGAGATGAGCAGCAACTCAAATGTATAAATAACTCCGGTTGCCAACCCTTTTTTTTTTTTTTTTTTACGTGGGGAAGTCCTCATGGATACCTCCGGCCGCGGGGGCAACCGGAAGGTTATGCCGGACTCCTACCGGCTAAAACCCCACGGTTCCTCCTCGCACGTGCGTGCGGGGCCGCGGGAATCCAAATTCTTCCGCAGCCCCACACTAGTGCTGGCCCGATCTGTCTGGGCCTCGTCTCCTGCACGGGGTAGCGAGGTGTTCAGCTACCCCCCTCCACAGCCTCCAACTCCACCTGCGTATCGGACCCCCCGAGTCCGATACGCGGAGGCCATGGGGCCAGGAAAAACTAGCACTCAGAAGCACCAGCCTTCCTGACCCCAGCGACGGATCTGGTCTATGGCTCCACCGCCAACCAAGATTCGGCTGCGGAGGGTAGGGAGAGCGGCGCCTCGCAATACCGACACTCCTCTCCCCCCGCAGCCCCACCACCACCGCATCATTAACGGTGCGGCCCCGTCTGAGTCGCGGAGGATAGGGCGAGTGGCGCATCGCCATACCAACACTCCTCTTCCTCCGCGACTCCACCTCGGCTGCAGCGGTAGAGGGTGCGGACTCCCCTCTCACCGCAGCCCCCCGACACACATCCGAAGTGGGCTTCCCAAGCCCACTCGGAGTGGCCACCTCGGGCCGGCCCTACACCAAGGGGTTCCTCTTTGTTCACCGTGGGTGACCAAGCCACGGCTACTAAGCCCTCCCGCCACGACAAGGCGGGAACCCGTTCGGGGGGGAGGAACCCGTTCGGGGGGGCCGGTTGCCAACCCAAGCCAAGCGTGGCCACTATGGCAAAATTATCTAATAGGCCGTCTATGCGGGAGGCCTATGACCAGCAGTGGGCTCTTATCGGATGTAATGGATGGATCGATGGATGGATATAAATATTTATGATTAAGAAAAAAAATCTAATTTAATCAGTCTTTAACCCATTGGTTGATAAATTAAAAGCCTCCATTTGAATATATTACGTTGTTAACAAGCCGTTTTCATCAATCCACAAGATTTTATTTTACTAAATACAAGATTTATTTTCTTTGCGCTTTACACTCCTATTACAATTTTAACTGACTTCATAAAACACTCGTTCAAATACTTTTAATAATTTTTTCATTTAACTCATCATTCATCATCACATTAACTCTGACGCTCATGAACGATTCAGATGTATATATTGGAGATTTTTAAGGTGGGAGGTATTTAATTAAACTTTTCAACTTAATCAAAAGTCAACTTTGCAAAATTAAATTTTATAAAATAATTTCAACAAAGTTTAATAGCTTCAAAGTCGGTGTAAATGTATTGAATAATTAAAGCCCCAACTTCAGAAGCTATGAAATTATTTTATTATATTTAGTTTTTTAAGTTCGTTTTCACTTTTCTGAAAGTTATATTATTTGATTATACCGTTATCGTAACAGCCTGTTAAAGTTCACTATGTTAAAAAGGCCTAAACCATAGATTGTCAATCCATAGTCTATAGTGAAAAATAAAATTTTCACTTCATATTTTTATACTCGTAGGTAATAAAACTTTTCTATAAATTTAAATGGGTCCCACGGGGCATAGTCTCTCAGTCCACAATTGGTGAAGATATCGCGTCAAACACAAAAATATATTTGCATTTTTTTTTAAAACGTTACCCCCACACTAGTATTTTCTCCTGTATCGTGGAGGCAGTTTACAAACATAAATTGCACGAGGACAAACATCCAGACTCGGAACAATTATTTGTAGGCCATACAAATACTTGTTCCGTGCGGGATTAGAACCCGCGGCCCCCAGCGCAACAACTCATTGCTAAGCCAATGCGCCACAGAGTCGTCAAGCATTGAGAAGCTCTTTCCTTTTTATGTTTGGTGAAAAACTAATGGCATTATTTATTTTCGTATAAAATACAGATAATGTTATAACTTTCAGAAAACAAAATGAAAAAGTGATGACATCATGAATTTTCGTTAATCCAGACATATAACATCCAGAAAAAAATTCCTCTTCTATTTATCTCTATGTATTATTTTGCTTTTACAGAATAAGCCACAATATAACGCAAAAAAACATAGAAAAATTTCTTCACGATCTCCCAATTTTAAAAGACTATGGAAGATCGACCAGAAACATTGATGATTTTGAAACTATTATGTCAATTATGAAGGGTCATTATTTTACAGTGGAATCTCTTATGGAGGAGGTAATCATAAATTTATTTCAGTCTTACCTATTCTGTCTTTTTGCAATGAATTAGTAAAAGGTCGGATTTCTTCGTTTTTAATATACAAATTCAAGATATTTCTTTTCAAAGTTTAATTATATTTAATTAAAATATATATGTGCTATTTTATTCGATAACTAGTTGCCATCATGAAGGTAGCGACATAATCCCGTTGCTGTAGAAATCTTGGGATTATTGATCAAAAAAATGCGACAAGATGTTTTTACAGTCCTCTCTTGATGCTAACCTAACACTACCTAAAAAATTCTGAAGAGACCGAAACTGGTGAAAATCTGACTATGGCCAGGAAGGTCAGGATATATATGGTGGATGCATTAACATTTCCCAACCAAACCTTCTTAATTTTTGCTGAATGGCCAAAGGTGTGTGTAGTTTGGCGTTATCATGATGAACGACCACTCCTTTTCTGTTGATCAAATCCGGCCGTTTTTCTCTCTCAATTTTTTGTTTAAGTCTCATTAGTTATTGGTAGTAGAGATTCGAATCGATGGTTTTGCCAAGCGGCAAAATCTATCTTCCAATCCCATCATACACACAGCATCACCCGTGTATTGCGTGTTAATCTGGGTTTCGCTTATAGTCTGTGGAGCTTGAATACCCTTTCACCATGATCTTTTTCGCATAGTCTAGTGGATATCCACTTTTCACCACCAATCAATCTTTTCAAAAATTATTCGGTTTCATTACGTCTCAATAGAGAATCGCAAATGAGTACACGACTTTTTCCAAGGACAACCAGAGCGTGCTGCATCTTTGACATCAAAATTCCCGGACCGAAAACGCTTGAACCAACTTTGTGCTACTCTTACTGACAGTGGTTCATAAAAATCACACGTTTTTTCGCGGCTTGAGTCGCATTTTCAGAATTTTTCAGAATGTACTATCAAATTTCTTCGTTAGATTCACTCATTTAGGCGGACATAAAAATATCTGAAAAATGGCGGGAAAGTGTTTTATCTTTTTCTTTTTCTATTTCTTAATGTACTACAGGTATTAGTATTAAAACCAGCCAGATACAAACAGTACAAACAAAGAGATTTTTCTTCAATTTTGTACAAACAAAATACGAAGAAATTTTTTCCCCGACCTATTATAAATATGTTTATATGGAGCGAATATTTGACCAGAATTTACCGTGTAGCAATGCTGTAAGAATATCAACTACCCATATTATCCCGTGGGTATCGTAAAAGGCGACAGAGGGACAGAAATCAGAAGACGAGCCGCAGCGTCTCATCAATAAGGACTAAAAATAAAAATAATCTGCCGTTGTAAAACCAAGTGCCAACTATGGCAAATATCCCCTCTATGTGGCAATTTATACGGGAAGCCTATTTTTACCAGTGAAGTTTAAATAAATAGACTGTACGAGTAAAAGAAAATTAATTTACGAGTAACTTTTTAATTCCCGACGTTTCGGGTACTTTACAGCACTAAAATTAATATTCAAAAACTGAACTATGACATTGGGACGTCAAACACCTTAGTCCCCCCCCCCCCCCCCGTGACCATGGGTACTGTAAAGCATCCGAAACGTCGGGAATTAAAAAGTTAAATTAAACGCAATAAAACCCATAAAAATCAGTTTCATTTAATATGTAGTCTTCGCGTAAATATAAGAAATTATTATACCCAATCCTACTAAGTAAAAGTATAATATTATTCATTCACTTATTTATTCTTTACAGCCCATGAAACGTCCACTGCTGAATGTAGACTCCCATGTTTTGCCTCAAGGGCGAAAACTTTCCATAGTTGCTGCTCTTGGAAAGTGGGTTGGTAAACGCAGCTTTTTATTATTTTAAATTATTATGAAATAAACGCTGCTCACAGTCTTTTGTTTCAGTTTTCCTCTATCACTTCTTACGATATCCACGGGTTTATATTGGGTAATTTCTCTCCCTCCTCTAAGATTCTCCCTCTCTGGTAAACTGAATATAAGAGCGATACTAGCGACTTAACCCGGCTTCACCTGGGTCAGATCTAATAATTTTGACATTTATAGATATGATTTAATATTCTACAGGTACATCAAAAATGTGAAAGTTTGTTGCTGTATTGTGCATTCAACAGAAAAGTTAAAAACTGTGGTGACATTTTTGAACGAATAAAAACATACGAAGGCCACTGCTGCGCTTTTAACTATGCTGCCCTTAATGATGATAGCGATATGTAAGTTATTTTTTTTTCATATATAGAATAAGGGTGACATACGAGCACAGAGGACAACCTGCTAAATAGATGGAGTGGCCCATAGACATTTACATTTATCGTCAATTAAGAATCAATAACTATTTGAAAAAGGATTTTCAGTTCTTTACAGTCACCATATGGAAGACAGCAGCATTAAGCAACAATTTTAGGCTGGTATTCTATTATTTTAAAGTAAGGGTGCTAAATGAGCACACTGTATATAGTTGCTACGGCCCATAGACATCTATATCTACTTAAGAGACAAATTACACATTCAGTTACTAAGTTGGAATGTCTCATTATCAGTTTAATTCACTTGATATAGATTCTGTTATCATTAACAAAGGAGCCGACAGCCCACCTAATAGTATGTGTGTACTTTTTTTACATGCGGAATTGCCTACGCGTATCCGCCCCGTGGGGTCAAGGATGGGTTAAATCGGACTCGCACAGACTAAAACCCCATGGTGATTCCCCTTCGCTGCATATTGACAGAGCCACAGGAACGCTTTCACATCCACGGCCCCACCAGCGCCGGCCACCTAATGGTAGCCCTTCCTTGAGGGGGAACACCTCTCGTCCCCTCTCAGGCAAGGCGCACCAGGGACATAAGTCCCCCCCCCCCCCCCGCCACGGCCTCCACTTCCACCTGCGTAACGAGACCTTCGAGTCCAATACTCGGAGGTTATGGGATCAGGAAAATTCGAGCGCTCGGTATCACCGTCTTTCCTGACCCTAGTGGCGGATCTTGTCTCTGGGTCTGCAGTTAACCAAGTTTCGGCCGAGGAGGGTAGGGAGAGCGGCGTCCCGCAATACCGACACTCCTCCCTCCTACGGCCCCACCACCACCGCATCAACGGTGCGGCCCCGTCAGAGTCGCGGAGGATAGGGCGAGTGGCGCATCGCCATACCAACAATACTCTTCCTCTGCGACTCCGCCTTGACTGCAGCGGTAGGGGAGAGGGGAGACATCCGAAGTGGGCTCACCAAGTCCACTCTCGGCTACTAAGCCCCCCCCCCCCCCGCCAAGGCAGGAACCCGTTCGGGGGGGGGGGATTATGTGTGTACTATGGTCCATGGAGAGCTTCAAGCAGCTTCAAGCAAGGCCACAAACGCTGAGGACTTAAGATGAACTTGATATTGTTACTGACATGACGTAGGTACTGACTTTATTTTTTGTTGGTATGTAGCTTCGTTACCGCAGTCCATGGCGGTGTTTGCGAATATTTAAGGAGATAAGAGAAATCAAAAGACTCTTAAGAGTCTTCTATCAAAAGACTCTTGAAAGTCTCTTATGGGGCTTAAGTGGAGAATGATAAATAATTTGTAACGAATATCTTTATTCATTTTTACTCGACTTGGACTGCAATATAAGGAGAGTAATGTCTTTCGAGTGTATATATTATGTAGGCATGTGCCGCAGGAAGATAGTTAAGGCCATGATAAAGTTGTATCCCTAGGGATATAGCTATATACCAGTTTATAACTATTTTAATAGACTAATCTAATGAAATAATAATATCTGTAAACTGAATGTACAGGAGGAACAAATTTCGTGATATTGACGTTCCTGTTGTATTTTTATTCATGTTATTTTTTTGAGAGTAGGTTAAGGTGCGTCTGGAGTGGCCCTTTGGCCACCCTTTTAAAGAATTTAACTTTTTAATTTCGTAAATTCAAAAATTATAAGTCAAAAGTAGTTTTGACTAACAAATTATAAACAAACTACAATTATAATAAATTCACTAGATTTGTCTAGTAAATCGCTTTCATATAACTACATTGCGGTATATCCCTAGGAATATAACTATATCATGGCCTTAACTATCTTACGCGACATATGTAGTATGTCTATTTCATTGTATTATAAACGGCTAGATAGACTTTAACATATAAGTAGTTGTCGTTACATTCGACTTAGTTTTAGGAGTGACATAAGGTATAAAATTTTTCTCTTTTCACTAAATTTTTTAATGCAGTTGGGCCTTTTAATTTCTGTTTGTCTATTGGGCTTGTATGTTATTAAAAAATTAAAACCGAATATAGTTTTAGCGAAAATATTGCGATTGCTTCCATAATTTATATTATTTCTTTCGTTGCCTGTGATTCTAGTTCAAAATTTTCAAAAGATGAAGATATAGAATACTATGAAGACCCAAGCGGCGAAGACGTGCAACCAAACGAACGTATTATAGTAACATCTGAATCGGGCAGGTTAGTATATACTTCAGCATTTGGTCAACACCATGAATATTAATGATTGTGGCGTGTACTTATGTCAAGTATTGGTAGAACGTGACAACCAATCATCCAATTTGATCCCATGGATGGCTTATGAAGATGTTATGGAAAATCCTTCGATGCGATAAAAGATTTCATTAATGTATTAAAATTATTAGAAAAAAAAAGTGTTTTTTTTTTCACAACAGATGTGTAATAATTTAAATGAATGCTACTTGATATGAGTGATCAATATCCTGCAGTCATGCTTATCAAATTTCTGCTTGACATTGAAGACGACAAAAACTTGAATTTTGCAGTTGAAATCTATAAACAGCTCACAGTAATAAAACTGACAATCTTCCTATTTCTGATAGCCCCATAGACCAGAAATTAATCCGCTTGCCTTTTCTAACGCGGATCAAAATATTTGAGTAAAAGAAAGGAAATGTGCAATTTTATTTTCCAGATATCAATCTCACTTTGCTGAATACCGCCTTAAAATCGCATTCTTAATTATTGAAAATTCAATGATGATCTGCAGTCTTAAAAAATCGTCCAGTTTTAAAAATCTCTCATAAGCAATGATGTGAAATAATTTCTTAATTGATTCTGGAAATTTGTCCTCGTTAAAATAATATTTTGTCTATTTTATTAAAATATTTTTAAAGTACTCCTGAAGTAACTTTGAAATTTAATACTTTGAACAATATTTCCCACGTTCCTTCGTAATTATTGATTCTGTTAATAAGTGCTAAGTTTGCATAAATTGTTCTTATTTTTTTATTGTATGATATGTATTTTTACATCCAAAATAAACTTTGCATGACACAACCTTTGAATGTTATGTGCACTCTAATTGATATTCATATCGGACAATGTAAGAATCTGTACTTTTACGTGTTAATGTTATGAGTGTATTTACTAATAAATTTAATTAAATTAAAAAATAACACATGCTGGCATATTAAAATGTTCTCAACACCTGAGGCAGGTGGTGAGAACATTTTACCAATGGGCACTTTTATAAAATCTATGCTTGCGCATCATCTTTAGACTTATTAATTATGATTTTATCTCGGAAAACTGGACAAAGCTCAAACAGCTCTAAATACATCTTTGTTGAAATACTTACATTAGATCTGTTCTATCTAGAATCTAAAATAATATTTTAAGCTTCTTAGTCCCTCTCATGTACTTTCCCTTCGGTCCATACAAAATATTTCTGTTATATACGTGTAGTCTACATTTTGTTGCTCTTATTTTGAATTTTAGCAACGTAATTCCGTATCTTTGTCAAATAAATGTGTCCAATATTTAACATTATCCATCACTGACATAGAACGTATCATGTAGTTTACCGTATCCGTAAATCATTCTGCTTATTTTTTTTGAGTGGGTTATAAGACTTGCAATAAGACTGCTCTTTATCTTTCCCATATGATTGTATTATAAAGTATTTAGCATTATTGTAATATTGCAGAGGATCTGGTCTTAGCGTAGTATTTAATGTAGAACCTGAAGATTATCCAATTTGGTCTTCAACGCCTTATTTTGGTGCAAAGGTAATATCAATAATTATGTATTTTTACAACTCCATATAACTCTCTATCAAAGTTAATTTTTAATAAAAATCATACATTAAATAGTTTTTGGTCTTTACCATACCATATATTAAAATAAATGCAATAATATTACTCAAGCTGAAGACTTGTTTACGTGCAATATTAATTTTAATTAGGCCCGCTGAGATTTTGCTCATTTTCTTCGGACAAATAATTTTAACCCATGGTATAAACATAATTTTTAATGAAGATAATTTAAAATGTTTATTTATTAAAATGTGGTTATCGATGGATGCAGGTGGCTACGGACCGTGAATTCTCCCGTGAATCTCGCCCAAAGAATGCCACAATTCCTTGTGGGAGGCCTACGTTCAGTAGTGGACTTGTGATGGATGTAATGATAATGATGATGTATTTTAACTATATCTTACTTAAGTTAATCGAAATAAATTTTCAATCCTCCGTAGTTAATTCATAGAATAAAATACAATATAAGCAAAATATACCAGTTGTATGAATCAAATATTGAAATATTTTCCGCTTTTATTTGCAGTCAGGTTATAATTTACTTGATGGATGACTTTTATCTGACGATTGGAGTATAGGTTCTAAATTTAACAGCATTTTTCAGATTTTAATCAGTGACCCGAACGACTACCCAGAGACAACAGTTCTATATAAATTAATAAGCTTAAGGGAGTCGATAGATATAAAAGTAGAGCCAATGGTATTTCAAAGCGAAAATGACATACGACATGTTGCTCCAGAGAAACGGGCTTGTTGGTTCCACGATGAGGTGTTTCTCGAGCATACCGACAGATATAGTTACGAAACCTGTAAAACAGAATGCAAAATGCACAGATTTCTAGAGAACTGCGGGTGCATACCGTATAAGTATCCGAGAGGTTTGTTCTTAAATTATGAGTCTTTTTTTATGAACCAATAAGGATAGTAAAAGTTATGAAAAAAAACCATAAATAATATGTGGATAACATGTAATAGTGATGTAATGTATGCAAGGGTTTGAGATTAGACAAGGGGTAAAGCTTCACTTCCACTTTATTTTTGCCTCTAACGGCTCCGGGCGGCGGAAACTTTGGCTACGCCACTGACTGCCTTAACTAAGAGTGCTCTGATTTTGATAACATGCTTTACCTCGAATACGGTATAAGGCAGCATTGCATACCTTTTTTTTATTTAAGTCACTTGGTACAGTAGCTTTTTGTTTATAGAATAAGGGCCCTCATATCACTAGCGACCATAAGAAGAGCAGAAACAGTGCTGTGACCATGCCTGAAGACAAACCGTAAAAGGCTTAATAAATCGTTTTATAAACAAATAGAGATAGTTAGTTGCACATGCTTCAATTACTTTGGATAGTAAAGGATAACTTGTATAGTATAGGTCGGAAGTAATTGGGTAAAGTTGGATTGGAAGTTTTCGGTAAGAGAATAAAGTAGGTAATGCACCACATTGACGGGAAAACTCCGGAATCTAGGGAAAAGTTTATGATATAAGAAATAACTGGAAGAATACGGTCAAGGATATAAATGATCATACAGCGGCTGATGTTATAGCAGCCCATAGCGTTTGACTTAATGGAAAGGATTGTCTTTTTTAATATCGTCCCAAGTAACTTTAGTCGTTAGGCTATGTCGATTACTCTGGTTCTACTACGGATATCCTCATTCTATGTCTTTCACGGAGATAAACTCCGAGCATAGCATAGCGACTTGGAACTTCCTTATATGGCCAGCAGTGAAGGGCTACAACTAATATTTTTATTTAATCACTAGCAACAAGATGCATGTTTTGAGGTAAATGTGTCGAGATGTACGTAATCTCTTAAACACTGTCCAGCGAGTTGGATGCGCCGATTGACCTTTCTGCCTTTCTCCCAAGACGTGCTTAGCGGTAGGACTCCTTTGTAAAAAAATCATTCAAAAATGAATACCGTAAAATGGGGTGAATAGAAATCGCGGGGTGAATAGACACAAGTCTGGTTATTTGATAAAGTTGTCTGTAGGTCTGTCTACAGCTCGGGAAAGTCTGTTTATTATTACTGTTTATTATTTGCCAATATTTTCCTTTTATTTTGGTAACCTTTAAATTAGTGTCAATTTTGATGACATGAAAAGAAAAGGGCGTTTACTATAAACGTGTGAGTACAAGTGGTTTTATGCTGTGTAAAACTTTTAGTTAAACATCAAGTTCTTCAGTGTTTCCTTGTTGCAAATGTTTTTTTAGGGAGTTGAGTTTCTCATCTATTACTAATATAAATATGAATATCGATATTGAACGATTTTATTCTTTTAAATAGTAAAATCAGTATACTGGTATTTTTTCTCGAATTCGAAGTGAATAGATAGGAATGAGGAGTTATTGGAAACGTAAAAGGAGTTAATAGTAACATGATTTTTAGGGTTGTCAAAAACTATTTGCACCATTTACTTACTACATAAATTAATTTAAGTAGCTGATTGAAACTAAAATTAAAAAAAACCGCTTAAGCCATATTAAAGGTATTTAAAAGTCTTCTATTATAAATTTTAAATATTGATATTTGTCATACATTAAAATTCCAAATACTTGAGGTTTTACCATTACACAAGACAGAAGTTCCTGAAGTAAATATACTTAGTGTGCTCATATGACTTAGTCCAATCCAGTAGATAAATATATCATTCATTATATTTGTATTTTATTGTTTAACAGAGACGCTCCGTATTAGACTCAAAGAAGTATCTAAGCGGTGCGGAATAGGTGTGACGCGAGTTATCAGCTTCAAACCCCGATATTATGTCAATTTACATTTATGTTTAGTGTTTACATAATTTTACAAATAAGTAATGGTGATTTTTAATCTTGTCTTGTTACCTACAACTTAAAATAACCAAAGGTTATTAATCAAAACACGTAGTATTATAATTAGCGTTACCTAGTTTAACAAACTTATTTTCATTACTTAAAAAAATATGTTCAAAACTATGTAAGCAGTACCTTATTTATTTAATGGCTTTATGTTGGAAAAGCTTACGCTGCAAAGCAGTTAAATTACATTATTCTGATATTTTTAATTTATATAATATGGTATTGTACAAATATAAGATTTATTAACTAAATATTTTTATAATGACAATTTTAATGTAGTTATGTTTTCTTTCGATTGACTCACAAGCTCATAACCTACATACTACAAAAAAAGCAAATTTGACAACCCTAGCATTTTTTGTCTATTCACCCCTATGTCGTATCTATTAACCCCGAATTCACGGTATATAGAAACAGACTACTTTTTTCTAATCTACAACGAATTTGCATGTTTTACTCGTTTGAAGCATTAGTATTCGATAACCTACAACTAGACTTTTTAAAGCGAAAAAAAAAAAGAAAAAAAGACTCACAACATTAAAGTGTTTTATTATCAGCTTATATATAATATATGTAAGAAAAACAGTGTAGAAGTTGAAAGTTGTGTCTATTCACCCCATTTTACGGTAATCGATGTTTTATATGCTTCGCTCATTTTTAGTTTTTTTAATAGTCATGAGCACAGTTACTTATTTGATATATTACACTGGTTTGAAAAGTAACATGCGTCTAAGAATATATTTTTTTAGACAACAGCTTTTAAAGGTGTTTTCGAGAACGCTGCAAGCAGTCTGGATTTTTTTTAACATTAATTCTGTAGTATTTAGTCTTAAAAAAAAGTAGTTTTAAATACAGAATTACAATGTTGTATACTGTCACATGAGTATACAGTAGGATTTCTTTATTCGTCATTACAGCTTACGTTTTATATTCTCTAAGTTTTTTTTATAGAATAAGAGTAACAAACGAGCACGCAGTGATAATAAGTGGATACTGTGTAATGCATGAGATAAGAACTTTTTAGAAGTTTTTATCTTCAAAAACTTAAACATGAGAATAATAGAATAAGAAACGCCAGACAAACTTAACGGTAGCGAACTTGTAAGTGTGCCATCCTTCAAGTATTTCGGACACGTGGTTACCGAGGACGACAAGGATATTGAAAGGAAAAGGAGGGCGATGGCAGTCCGCTGCAACATGTTGGCTCGCAGATTTGCACGTAGCAGTCCAGATGTGAAAATAACACTGTTGAAGGCATACTGCCAAACGCTTTATACGTGCATCTATGGGTCAACTACACCCGGGGGCTGTCAACGCTCTCCGAGTACAATATAAAAATGTTCTGAGAATGTTGTTGGGGCTTCCAAGTTACTGTAATGCAATCAGGGATGTTCACATTGGCGCACACTGATGGGTTTTACACCGTAGTGCGCAAGCGAACGTTTTATACGTGGTAGGGCCATGCTGCAGCTATAGGAGTGGTATAGTTGTAGCACGAATGGGTAGGCTCGACTGGGGAAGGACCACGCTCTCACAGAATACCAGCGTAAAATAGCAGCTCAATGCTGCCGTGTTTCGTATGGTGAGCGTAGAGAACCGGAGACCCTTTTTACTGGAAAAGAGGCATTCCATCTTAGTCCTCACGGGTGACAACGCATCTGCATTTTGATTCTTTATTGAGGATAGATGTAGATATTTATGGGCCACAGGACCCACTTACCATCAGGTGGGCTGTGTACTCGTTTGTCACCCTATCCTATAAAAAACAAAACACAATTATCAGAATAATCAGTGAAAAGCCTGACTGTCCGATACTACGGCAATGGGTGTACACTCACACACGTGTTGCAGGGGTGTCGCGCAGTGCAGGCAGATATTTAAATTAGAATAAATATTTTCCAAAGAAATGTTATTAACCTAGTTTTTAAGATCCCTTTTTTATGCTATCAACAATATAATGTATAAAAGTCTGAAATAAATATATTTTTTTTTATTATTTATTATTTATTTATAAAACAAAGAGAATGATAGTAATGAATTTAAGTATTACAACACTGACTGAGTTTTACAAATGAAAAATAAGTAATAAAGTTAGTATCTGTGGTTTAAAATACCTTTATTTTTACAGAAAAATCAACACCCATTTGTGAATTTAAAAATTTACAATGTTTAAAGAATATGACTGGTAAGTTGTTTTTGATCAATTAAATAATGCTAATTAATGCAATGTTGTAACATGCATACTTATAGAAAAGGTTTTTCCGTACTTAAATATTATAATGTATTGTGAATGTATTTTACATGGATCACGAAATGAAACAGCTTATCATCAATATTATTTAAATAACACACATACAATAAGAGTATTAAGTAAATATTTAATCAGCCTACAGATTTAAAGGACAAAAGCCATGTATTCCCGTATGTTACATGGAGTGCCGAGACAAAAAATATAGTATCACCAGTGATCTCACGCCGTTTGTGCCAGAACTTTTCTCACCGAATATTACGTAAGTTGTTTTATTTAAAATTGAATATATAAATATAATCTGTTTTTTAAATTCTACTACAGTTTCGTCTTTGAAAATTTTTTTTAAAGAAGAAGAGATAACAAACGAGCACATAGTTCATCTGATGGTAAGGAAATGCTGTGGTCTATATAATATAGGCACCTACAACTAATCCTGATTAAGAATCAAAATGCAGAATACGTTGTCCCCCTTAAAACTTAGATAGGAAGTATCTTTACCAGTAAAAATGGTCTCCGGTTGTTGTCGCTCCCCATACGAAACAGAGCAACATTTTGCTGTTATTTTATATGCTGCGCTGTTATACTGTGTGAACGTGGTCTTAACCCTATCGAATCGACCAATTGTGCTACAACCATGATAAAATTACAGCAATGCTGAATATATTATCATTGTTTACCAATAATCAACTAATTGTGAGGTACAAGTTAGCTTCTATTTGAAAGAAGGCTTTGGTGATTGTATGGCTACTTGTATGGATTGTATAGACAAGCCTATACAAACACCATCCTTCTGGATTATTAATAGCTTCAAAAAACAATGAACAGAGGTATAAATGTTAGTAACATAGCATTTTACTAGGAAGGACCTGTTTTCTGTCTAAGAAACGGTTTTCTTTTCTTTGTTTTACCAAACAGATCGACACAACCTTACAATAAAACATATTTCCACAAAAATGTTTACACAGTTTGCCTGTAGAATCCAGAGTCTCACAATAATACTTAATGGATAGCTATGGTATAAAAATTTATCTTATTGACATAATGATAGAAAGTGTCTATAAATCATATTTATAATACATTTTTCTTGGTCTCGTGTTGAATATCTTTGAGCAGACTGTTCAGAAGATACGATATTTGTTTCATTAATGTTCTATCTCCAAAGTAGTTTTTTTTTACTATACGTACTTCGGACTTACCCTCGGACATCGACCGGGTACCTTGATTGTGTTTTACAATCGTTAAGTGTACCTTTTGATAGTCAAGGTCAGCGGTTAAGTCTTAGCGGTTAGCCACCGTAGAGTCTATATCACCTGAGGATGCCTCGTGTAGAGGCGAAACACGTGTCGTATTGTCGTCAGTGGTGTGTCTTGCCTAGTGTAGTGTTGTTGGGAGTAGTGGTGCTGGGATTAGCGTTGACGGGGATAGTGCACGCAATTGAGGGAGGGCGGGAGGTGCTCTTCATACTAGGTAAGACACATCATTTTATTTTATAACGCGGATATTTGCGAAGTAAATTTTTCTAAAAGCTTTTAGTCAAGGTTATTTATAGCCAGTAGATATTTATGCTTTAAACTAACCGGTAGAATCTTACAAATTACCATTCGCTCATCGGATTATCTATTTCAGGTACTTAATAGCAGTGCTCTGATGTATATATGTAGGGTATAGAGAAACAGTAAAGTTACAAACTGTGAGGTATTCCATCTAAGTCCTCGGAGGTGATAAGGCATTTGTGGCCTTATTTGTTTGAAGTTATAGGTATCTAGTAGCCACATATCAGTTATCAGTTGAACTGTAAGTTGGCTTGTCACTTCAGTTTAATAATATTATCAAACAATGCTAGGGCTAAATATTCCTTTATTCAAATGTTTTTTTCATCAAAATAAATTAGTGCAACTAACATTTACTGTTAATTGCAATTTTAAGTTCAGATTTACATCATGCTCGGTGGTGAATCACAACATCGTGAGGAAACCACATAATAATCACTATATGTCAGGAATAATATGTTCACCAAGACCTACTGAAAGTAGCGCATCGGATCCAAGAAGGGTTCTCGTTCATCTTTTTGTTGCAATTCAAGGAGTCTGTGGACAACCTAGCAGTTGGTTAAACATACACTGTAACTTTACATTAGTTTATTTTCGATTTGATTGCATTGTTTACTGGACCGATGATTCTCCGCATTCTATATTCAGTAACAAAATGCGATAAAACTATTAAAATTGGAAAAACCTAGATAATTTATTCAAATTTAAAATCTATTTTTCATCGATATCTTTATAAAATATTTTTATTAAAATTTTGAATATGATACCGAACTACCAGACAAGAAAAAAATTGTTAAATGTACCCTACCTAGTAAATAAAATTGACGACTTTGAGGATAAAGACGTACGGCACCATAAATTATTTCCAAGCTAGTGATCAGCTAGCACAATAAAATAAAATTTTATACCAACACAAACATATCATTTTACTTTTAATTTTTTTAAGAAAAGGGGGCAAGCAGCGTGCAGCTTACCTGATGGTAGGTGACTATCGCCACCATCGATATAAATATAACACGCATACTTGTAACTCAATGACTGCCACCGACGAACAACAGCAACAACTAAATTGCAGATTCGTTGACAGATTTGTGGCATATAATTATGACGACCAGAGCAAACATATCCAATAAAACGCAAAAAAAAATAAGTCAACGATGCTGCTTTCACACAACAGCGTGGTAAAGCCATGCTGCAGCTATATTATGGTTGTAGCACGAATGGTTCGGCTCAACCGGGGAAGGACCACGCTATCAAAGATTACCAGCGTTAAATAGCAATTTATTACTGCTGTGTTTCGTATTGTCACTGTAGAGAACCGGAGGCCCTTTTACTAGAAAAGAGGTCTTCTTAGTCCTCGGAGGTGACAACGCATTTATTTTTAATTGAGAATAAATGTAGATGTTTATTGGCCACAGCATCCACTTACCATCAGATGGACTGTGTGCTACTTCTTTCACTAGTACCTACTGGAGCCCATGGACACATATAACCAACTTCAAATGAAAAAAGCTACAGCTGCGATGTCAACTCTGAAGTTTAAAATGAACTGCCTTACAACCTGTTATTATAACCTTCAGTAGAGTGAAATAAAAAGCAGTAAGGCCATCGATTTATAAAAATTAATACCTATATTGTATTAAGTTTTTTTTTTTTTTCATTTTTCAGCAATGGCCGCAATATCAGTGAATTATCTGCCTTACAAGTTTATTACGCAAAATCATCTTGCAATAGTTACAAGCTGATGCTATTAATGGACTTCAACCATTTTATTGGTAACTATATGTTACATATTTATACGTGGTGGAGCCATGCTGTAGCTATATCAGTAGTATAGTTGTAGCATGAATGGGTCGGCTCGTCCGAGGAAGGACCACGCTCTCACAGAATACCAGCGTCAAATAGCAGCTTAACACTGCTGTGTTTCGTATAGTGAGTGTAGAGAACCGGAGACCATTATTACTGGAAACGAGGCATTCCTTCTTAGTCCTCACGGGTGGCAACGCATCTGCATTTTTATTCGCAAACGAGGATAAATGTAGATGTCTATGGGCCACAGCAACCACTTACCATCAGGTGGAGTGTGTGCTCGTTTGTCACCCTATACTATAAAAAAATTGATTAAAGATAACAATCGATCACTAAGCTGATGTAGCAAGGGCCGGTCATATAGCCGAAGAACCAATGAAAAATAAAGGTTCTCGAGTGCATCTCGTACCGGTACGCGAAGTAAGGGACGGCTCTCCGTTAGATGAATTGAAGACTGGTAAAAGATGCAATAATTCGATGGATGTAGATGGCATAGGACCATGTCTTGTGGCATTCTTTGGGGAGGTCTTAATTCAGCTGTAAACTCGTAAAGAGCTGCCATAATTATGGTGTAAATAATAACATACTTAAGGTACTCAAAAATATTGTGCCCTAAGAAAACCTATCGCCCTATTTCACCCCGTGGGCATTGTAAAAGGCGACTAAGGAATATACCAGAAAGACCTTATAGCTTTCAAATGGCGGTATAAACCACTTTTTACTCCAGGCGTAAATTTGGAAGGCATAGATGCAACAGTTGTGATAATCCGCCAATCTACCTGCCAAGCGAATCCTTCCTTCAATGAAAAGGCACAATTATTTAAATGCAATGAGTGTAGAGAATAATAATTTAATTATTTAAATATGAAAGTTGGGTGTGGCAGAAGAAGCATGAGAGTAGAATAAATGCTGTAGAAATGCGGTCATTAAGGAGTATGTTAGGGATGAAGCTGAATGACAGAGTGAGAAATTGTTTAATAAGAGAAGAGTGTGGTTTGCAAGATGATGTTGTGACCAGGATTAAGAAAGGAATGCTTCGGTGGTTTGGCCATGTAGAAAGAATGAATGAGGAAAGAGTGACAAAGCAAATTTATGTTGCAGAGGTGAACGGCATAGTCGGGAAGGGTCGCCCTAGGCGAAAGTTTATCGACCAAATTGGCGATATATTAAAAATGGGCCAAATCAAGAGTACCTTTAACCGACGAGCGTGTATGCGTAGGTATATGGATGTGGAGGAAGCGAGAGAGGTGTGTCAGGATCGTGCCAAATGGAAGTCCATAATCTCTGCCTACCCCTCTGGGTGACAGGCGTGAGTGTTTATGTATTTAAATGCAAATTACCAACTGTGGTATTTTATGGGCTAATAATAAAAAAAGAAGAAAGTATGTAATTATATGATTTGGTAGGTAGTGGGACTCCGTTTAAGGTTACGAGCCCGTCTGGACATCTGGGCCTTTTTTTTACAGAATGAGGGGTACAAACGACCATATAGTCCACCTGATTGTAAGTAGATTCTGTGATCCATAGACATCTACATTTAAGGTTGATAATCAAAATGCAAATTCTTTGTCACCCCTGAGGAGTCAGATAGAACACCTGGTTTCCAGTAAAAGAGTTCTCTGGTTCTTTATACTTACCACACGAGACACAGCACGATCCAGTTGCTATTTTACGATGGTATTTTGTGACGACCCATTCCTTCTATCATAATATAGCTACAGAATGGCTCTATACCCCGTAAATTCATGTACCACCTTCTTTTCTATTTCTGTTGCCTGTGCTTGCACTGCTGTGTTTCGGCGTGAAGTATAGAGAGATCCAGTGTTATTGTAGGCTGTGAGGCATTCCATATTAGCCCTCAGATCACCTCTGGATGACAATGCATCTTTAGCCTCCTTTTTTGAAGTAGGCTGCAGGTGTCCTTTGGCTTCAGTAGTCACTTACCAACTAATGGACGGTTAGTTCGTTTGTCACTTCAGTTTCTAAAATAATAAAGATACGAAAGAATGACCCAATAACGACAGTAAATAATTCTAGGAATTCGCAGCTAAATATTTGTAAGTAGTGCTTATATAGTGTATTATTTGGTCATGAATTTAATCAAGCTTATTAAAAAATGCTGGTAAACGGGTTGGCTTTGTGGCAAATTATAACAACGGTTATTTCTTTTTTTCTGATGGACAATCATCCAGACCCGGAACAGTTATTTGTAGGCCATACGAATATTTCATCCGTTCGGGGTTCCAACACATAGCTACCAGTGTCACAAAGCCGTCGTATATTATATATTTACAGTAATATAGCCCTCAAGTTGCCATCTATATCGCACAGCACAGTGCAATGTTGCTAAGCCTTGTTAGATCTCGTTTGTAGAACTCAATGGCTCGGCAAAACACTTGTGAATGTTGTTTATATTACCGTTATGTATTTTGCAAGGTTTTGCACAATAATAACAATACAGAAAAAATAACGCAAATTAATAGAATCAGGCGTTACTTTGCGAAAGTCCATTATATTAAATTTGACAAAAAATTACTTTGCGTACATCCGCTAGATAAAATAAAATGATGTGTCTTACCTAGTTTGAAGAGCACCTCCCGCCCTCCCTCAATTGCGTGCACTATCCCCGTCACCACTAATCCCAGCACCACTACTCCCAACACCACTACACTAGGAAAGACACACCACTGAAGACAATACGACACGTGTTTCGCCTCTACACGAGGCATCCTCAGGTGATATAGACTCTACGGTGGCTAACCGCTAAAAACTTAACTACTAACTTAGCCGAGCACGTGTTTAGCCTCGTGTAGTGGCAAAACACGTGTCTTATTGTAGTCAGTGGTGTCTTTCCTAGTGTAGTAGTGTTGGGAGTAGTGGTGCTGGGATTAGTGGTGACGGGGATAGTGCACGCAATTGAGGGAGGGCGGGAGGTGCTCTTCAAACTAGGTAAGACACATCATTTTATTTTATCTAGCGGATGTACGCAAAGTAATTTTTTGTCAAATTTAAAAATAACGCTGGCAACATTGCTGAGCTTCTCAGCAAGATTTTCATCAAGATGCAATTTTATAGCCTGTTTACGAGCCTTTAATATATATTCTACTAAGCTTTTCTTCAGTTTGGATTTAAATTTGAGTACTTTTAATATTTTCTAATGGCTCCATATAAAATATCTACCCCGAAAGATGTAAAATTGAAAATTGAGGATGAAGTATTTAATATAAAGAAATTCTTGTATGTTACTTGAACTTGTGATATTCACTCAAAGTTGATAACATTATTAAACTTAAAAAAAAATAAAAACTGCTTCAAAAACTAAGAACAAAATAATTTTCATATCTGAAGTCGGGGCTTTAATTTCTCGTTACATTAAATCTTAGCACCGGCTTCAGAAGCAATTATGTGGAAATTATTTTAGGCTTAATTGTTTATGAAGCGTTATTACTTTCAAGTTTATGTAATATTAAGTTTGTAACGTGAAGTTATTTGTGATGTTGTAGGATACAATTATATTTTAATTTTAGGACGATGTAGATGTTGCTAATATATTTTTTGTGAACAAAGAATGTACCAGAAAATATGCAGGCCTAAAAATGTTTATTAAGCAAAATTGTTTAGTTAGGGTATTTTGTACTACGAAAGAGTACATGATTCATTATAACCCCTGGGAATGAGGTGATCACTCCCATACTGTTTCTAAATGTTTTCATATTTATTTGTATAAAATATTATATTGTCTTTTTTTTAATCCTGTTGGGTTCCTCGCTGATTCTTCGCAGTACAGAAGTTTTTTCTGAACCAGTTTTAAAGCTTAAATGACTATCAATATATATATTCTTGTAATCTATATTAAATAAAAAGGATTCCATTCTATTCTATTAATATATGAAATTAAAACTATATTTATATAATGTAAGTTTAGTTTATTTTAGTTTACGACGGGATGATTTCCGCAACTCCACGTCTATGCGCGTATTTTGCGTGTGGTCAGGAATAATATGCTTATTCGAGCCATGAGATCTCCCCGAATAAGCTCAACAGTCCTTTGATGTTGCATGCAACTTCGGGGAGTGATCTCGGCATGCCGAGATGTTTAGCCCTGTACGTAGCGACCTCCGGACATTTCAATATCACATGGGCCGCCGTTTCTTCTTCCCCCATACATGCCCTGCACAGGGGACTATCTGTAACACCTATAGTAAATAAATGCTTGTTAAAGTTGCCGTGTCGTGTGATAGCACTTGTTACTATCCTGATCTGCAGCTTGTTCAGTCTCATTAGAACTTTGGTTAAACGACTGTTTATTTCAGGTAGGGCCTCCCTAGCTTGTTTACTAGATTTTTCCAAAGTTGAGCGTGTAGATTAGTGAAGTGTCTACGTATATAATGTAATTTTATGTGTGATATTTTTCTTACAGCAACGTATGGAGGTATATTTACGTTAAGTTTCGGTGCATCGATATTGACATTGTGCGAATTGGTATATTTATTTGTATCGTTCTTATTAAGCCTATCTCAGCGAAAAATGCGATAAGAAAATAAACAATTTTCATTTTCTACATCTTGTTTTAGTTTTCACCTATAATAATAACAGTCAAATCGTTTTTAACGAAAACAAATAATTTTTATATTTTTAAGAGAAATAAGAGTGATAAATAAGCACACAGTTCACCTGATAGTAAGTGGATGCTGCGGGACAGACATACATCTATATCTATCCTTGATTTGCCGTTGTTTCCAGGTCCAGCCGACCCATTCGTACTGTAGCGTGACTCTAAGTATAAATATTTTGAAATATTTATCTTACACTGAAAAATGTTTGAAAAAATATAATAATAACATATATTTAAAAGTACACGAAACTTGAAATATAAAAGTTACTGTTAATTTTATTTATAAACGAAAATATTTCAACTCGCAATGCTGTGTTAAGGTAGGGACTTAATGTATGGTAATGAAAGTTGAGTGTGGCGAAATAAGCAATAGAGTAGAATAAATATTGTAGAAATGTGGTAAGTAAGGAGTATGTTATAGCTGAATTTGAATGACAGTGAAAGAAAAGTTTGCAAGATGATTTTGTGACTAGAATTAAAAAAGGAACGCTTCGGTGGTTTGGTCATGTAGAAAAAATAAATGAGGACAGAGTACCCTTAACCGACGAGCATGTATACGTAGGTACATGGATGTAAAGAAAGCAAGAGAGGTGTGTCAGGATCGTGCCAAATGGAAGTCCGTAATCTCTGCTTACCCCTCTGAATCATAGGCGTAAGTGTTTACGTATATGTATTATGTCCAATAATACGTTATTATCAATTTTTACAACAGATTTTTAGTCTTAATATTGAGTAAAATTAATAATTAATCAAAATTTCAGTCTGGAAGTGTTTATATATTCCATGTTTACGTGGAACATACGCCATCAAAGAATGTGCCAACTGTGTTACCTACTAGTTTAGCATGCCGTAAAATGCGATTGTGTAAGAGATGGGCTAGCCATCTATCATTTCTTTCATAATTTTGGATCTGAAGCAATTATTAAACCCATATTTTTAGACGTGGACCATTTGACGTGGTCCGAGTAGCTCGTTGCTCTTTGGGCTCTGTCTACCCTTCGGAGATTACAGGCGTGACACTATGTATGAAGGTAATTTTAAGTGTTTGCAACTCAAATAAAAACATATATTTAATACCAGTAGTGACATCTTGTTAAATAATGCAAATACTATTAGAAATTCGGGTACTCGTAGATGTCCGAACAGAGTTCCACGCCGATAGAATAAGTTGGTTAAATTGAGCTTCCTATACATTGAGATAGATGGCGCTTTAGAAAAAAACTTATTTGTGTACTGACATTTTTTACAAGTATGTAGTGTAAACATTTATTACTGCAGTACTCCTACTTCGAAGAATTCCAGTCTCTTTATCTATTATGAAATTCGTTCGACGTATAAATTCAAATTTATTAACGTTTCGTATCTTTGTTATGAATATATATATTATATTGTTATACGTCACTGGTCTGTACCTGTGCAAAATAAAGTGTTTATTTCTTTTTTTCTATTATGAATATGTTATAACTTCACCATTGTTAATTCCCTATTTTATATTACTTTGTACAAAATCTTCTTTGTTTGAAACGAAAACTTTGACCAAGTTTAATTAATTTTACCAATTAAAACTGCAATAATCGCCATCTAGGGATATGAACTTAACCACCGTCGCTATATTTTGCCATGAAAACATGAAGGTTGTCTTTTAATTAGGTAGGTAAAGAGATTATATTCTTTGGTTCTCATTTAAAACAAATTTCACTCGCACAGTTAACATTATGAATTATTAGACGTCGCTTATTTCAGTTGATGCTTTGATATTTTCTTTATTAAATGTTTAATATCAATATAAGACGCTTTGGGGTTATAACGAAAATGGGGGAATTCCGATATTTACAAATTACGAGTTAAGGCGTAATTTAAGCCAATATTTTTTGCTCTGGTAAATTTATTCTAGACGACATTTTATTTGACTCCCTCGCTTCAGTCGTTTCAAGTAGCTAGTGTCAATAGTGCGCGTGCAAAGTTAACTTTTCGGTGGAAACAGCTTTTTTCAACTCTTTTCGGTTTTTTGGAATTACCCCGCCTTCATTATCTTAGGAATTTGCTAATTAAGCTGTTTGATTTTATGATAGATAATCGTTTTTAAAACTTTATTTTATAGGTTAGGATTAGCCAGCTATTGTTTTTGTGTTTTTTCGGAAATACCCCATAGGGTTAATTACGAAATAATGAACTATCAAACTACTTTTCCATTGTAGTTTCCAGTGGCTGTCAATCTTTCGTCAGCATAAATTGTTATTTTGGATAAGTTTAACACGTTCGCGAACCTTACCAACGGCCGTGGGCAAGACGTACCTACCGCAATGCCAAATATTTAGACATAGTCCAGAAGGAATAGGCGCATGAGTACCGAAAATTATTCCACATCAATTTTTTTATGCGATTTCCTTCAAATTGTCCTACTGATGATATAAATGCAACTCGGTGCCGTAGGTATTGTTTAAACTTGAATTGTTATTTTCAAACGAGACTATTTTGTTATACTCTTTGATAAAATATAAAATACGAATAAAAAAACTCCCGTGACTTTTTACGATAAAGTTAATATCTTCTATGAATTGTTAAGGCTTGAAAAATGCCAATTTCGGATACTTTTGACCCATTAGAAATGCATAAAAAATAGTATAAAGTATGAACAATATTTTTTTTTGTATTTCTTGGCAAAATATAAATACAAAAGGTCCTATGACGTTTTACGATTAAATTAATATTTTCGCAGTTATGAGTTTTTAAACCTTTAAAGGTTTGAAAAATCCCGAAATCGGATACTTTGACTCATTAAAAATATATAAAAAAATTATAAATTTTTTTTTTTAATTCTCGCTTTTCTGTTATAAAAGTTTGAAGAAACCTCTAACTAGCCTAATAACTGTCCAACTACGGGAACGCAAGGTGCGCTGCCGTGGTGGTGCGTTTAATTTTTAGAACCACTGGAATTAATGTGGGGTAACTCCGAAAATTGAAGTGAGCTTTGCTTTGCTTTCAATGCTTTTTGTAGAGGGGTATAGACGAACGAAAAGTGAATCTAAACCTTCTGTAGAAAGTCAAAAAGGAACACTTTACCGAATTTTCGGTATTACTCCGCGTTATATCGGAATTATTCCTTATCCAGAAGAAAAATATGTCAAATTTTATTAAGACGAATAACAAAATAATTAGGATATGTATTTCAATAAATAAAAGTGACATGAGTTGGTTACATCCATCCACTTGGATAGATTTTTTTAAAATAATTATTAAATATGCATCGTATCAACTAATCAGAAAATATGTCGTATTTACCCCAAAGCATCTTAAATCAGTCACTACTTTAAGCGTAGCAATTATGGAAAATATAATAACAGCCATGACAAATATAGCAAACATAATATGTTTGCTATATTTGTCATAACATATTATGTTTTAATCCATAAGGTTGTACAGTATTATTTTTATCACTTTATGTCCATGAGGTCGGAGCTAAGTTCTGCATGACCCACCGCAGAAGAACACAAAAACTCTCGGATCACACTCTTAATCTCATGGCTGTTAGACGGGAGATGAAGCTATATTCTTCAACAGATTTGATAGCATACAGGCAACTGAACAGACAGATCTCTAAGAAATGCATGCAGCGGGACTTACGCAACTTCAATACAGCTTGTATTGAAGAAGCGATCGAGCGGAAAATCTTTGCCAGAGATCTGTCTGCCAGAAAGAGCCAACTGTTCAAGCTGAAGACCGAGTGTGGCAGCGTCGTTTCCGGGACACCTGAGATTTTGAGTGAGATTTAGAAGTTCTATGGGCAGCTGTACACGTCATCGTTGGAGCCACACGCAAGTATGAGTAACGATCCAAGAGCGAGTCTTATCCGACACTATTCCGAAGATATTCCAGACGTCAGTCTGAAAGAGATTAGAATGGCTTTCCAGCACCATAAAAACGGCAAGGCCCTAGGCGAGGATGGAATTATAGCGGAGCTTCTGAAAGCGGGTGGAAAACCGGTGCTTGAAGTCCTTCAGAAGCGCTTTAATTCCATCCTCTATGGTGGTACTACTCCGGAGGCGTGGAGCAGAAATGCGGTGGTCTCGTTCTTCAAGAAAGGCGACAACGCTCTCTTGAAGAACTACAGACCGATTTCCCTTCGGAGCCGCGTCTACGTGCTGTTTTCGAGAGTCATTACGAATCGTCTCGCACGCAGACTTGACGACTTCCAGCTGCCTTTGATTCCGTCGAATTTTGGGCGGTGCTGCAATCTCTTCAGCGGTGCCAAGTTGACTGTCGGTATATCGAAGTGCTGAAGTGCTTGTACAGTAGAGCTACGAGGGTTATCCGAGTACAGAATCAGAGTACGAAACCTATCCAGCTGCAGAGAGGTGTAAGACAGGGTGACGTTATAATATCCCCGAAACTCTTTACCGCTGCATTGGAAGATGTTTTCAAGCTACTGGACTGGAAAGGATACGGTATTAACATCAATGGCGAGTACATCACTTACCTTCAATTTGCCGACGATATAGTCCTTATGGCAGAATCGCTGGAGGACCTTAGCACTATGCTCAATGACCTCAATAGTGTTTCCCAACGGAAAAGTCTTAAGATGAACTTGGACAAAACAAAGATCATGTTTAATGTCTATGCCGGTAGTTGTTGGGAGTACTAAGCTCGAAGTTGTTGACGAATATGTTTACCTGGGACAAATAGTCCGACTAGGTAAGTCCAACTTCGACCGAGAGGTCAACCGAAGGATTCAACTCGGTTGGGCAGCGTTCGGGAAACTACGTCACATCTTCTCATTAGACATACCTCAAAACCTGAAAACGAAATTGTACAACCAGTGCGTTTTACCAGTGATGACTTATGGATCTTTTTTTTTTATAGGATAGGGTGACAAACGAGCACACAGTCCAGCCGATGGTAAGTGGTTGTAGTATGTTCGATG